AGATCCTTGCGCTACAGCCCGCAGCCCGCTGTCACCGCTGGCACTTAATAACTTCTGTCCTGCCTACACCAGCTCTTCCATTCTGAAGCCAAGCCTCTCTCACTCCTTCAAAGCCTACCTGCAGCCCACCCCCTGAGGATTTGCACTTTTCAAGGGCTATTACTGCCCTTGGAAAATCTGTCAAATGTCAGACCTCAACTCCAGATACCACATCCCTCCTTTTCCTACCCACCAGGCTCTCTCTCCAGAACTGACTGACAACTTGACTTTACCCACATGCCCACAGTCAAACGAGTTAGGTATCGCCTGGTCTTGGTGGACACATTCTCAGATGGGTAGAGGCATTCCCACCACCAACATAAGGCTCAGACAGTCTCTGACCTCCTCCTCCTCCAGGAGATCATGCCCCGATTTGGAATCCCTCAATTTACCTCCCAGATTTTCCAAACCCTATCTAAAGCCCTCAGCATTCCTTGGCATTTCCACATCCCATACCATCCCAGTCCCCAGGAAAGATAGAATGAACTAACTGCTCCTTAAAAAACACCCTTGTCAGCCGGGCGTTGGTGGCGCACGCCTTTAATCCCAGCACTCCGGAGGCAGAGGCAGGTGGATCTCTGTGAGTTCGAGGCTGGGCTGGACAGCCTCCAAAACAATACAGAGAAACCCTATCTCACAAAACAACAACAAAAACAAAACAAAACAAAAACCAAACAAAAACCAAACAAACAACAAAAAAAAACCTCTTGTCAAACCCTCACAAGAACTTCACCTCAACTGGGTAAAACTCCTGCCACGGGGTCTTCTCAGACTACGGACTCTTCACAAGTGACCTCTTTGCATCTCGCCTGTGAGCTCATGTATACCAGATGACCAGTTCTGACTCCTGGTCTCTCACCCAAGCCCTCACCTCTCCCTGATCACCTCCTCATCCCCTTACTCCGTCACCTCCCTCCCTCCTATGGAACTTTACTGACCACTCCCTACGCCCAGGGCATGAGCCAACCCTGTCCCCAGTCACCATCGGGGATCAGGTCCTTCTCTCTCCTTCAGACCAATGTCCCTCACCTGTTTCCCCTACATGGCAGGGTTACAAGGTAATTCTTGTAACCCCCACAGCCACTAAGCTTGAGGGCCTTCCTCTTGGGTTCACCTATCCCAAGCCCTTTACTCCCCCACCCCAAGACAATTTCCTTTCGTGTACATCAACCCCGACAGACCCCGCTCCCTCGTGTTGCAGAGGTCACCGAGATCAGCCACCTTGTCCCTGGTTCCAGAGGGGTGAGGCCTCACTTTGTGACCATGCTCAACTGCTGGACTGAGAACCCCACAAGGAAGTGGATGCCTTCCTTCCTGACCCCCTCCTTGTTCTGCTGCCTCTACTGATCACACCCTGCTTCATCAATTTCTATGTGTCTCCAATGACATATTAAACAATTTCTAATAAAAAAATGAGCAGGCTGTTGTTACAGGACTACCAACACTAGCCACAGGCCTGGAGGTGCAACACTACCAAATGTGCCTGGAAGGTGAGAACCAATAGTATCCTAGAGATGTCTACAGCCCCAGACAGCAGGAAGCAGTCTAAAAGAGCATCCTATTTTCTCTCATCTTTTAGAATAAACCACAGGAAGGAATGTTGGCATTCAGGCGTTTATGCCAGCCTGCCCTTGGGGACCTAGCAGGATACGGCAGCAGCAGCAGCCAAAATGTGACGCTGTGACTACTGCAGGCACTGAGTGGGATCACTCTCCTTTATGCGCATGCACCGTATACCCTTAAAAAAGGCAAGTGCTTCTCACCCCTTTTCTCTTTTCCTTCTGCCCTCACCAGAGGCTGCCTCTATAATCCCCCCCATAAACCTCCCATGTGAGCTCTGTTGCATTGTGTGGCTTTGTGGTGCCTCTCGCCTCCAACACACCAAGGTTACCTTACACTGTTAAACTATTACAGTGATGCACATCTTTAATTCTGGCACTCAGAGGCAGAGGTAGGCGGATCTCCATCCTGTTACCTGGTTCCTCTTCCTTGTTCCGTGGAACTGGGGTCTCCAGGGGTTGTCACAAAGCTGACTTCAGTATGTCAGCTGTAAGCAATCGACTCTCTGGATCTATTTGGGCTTGCTGTCTCTTTGTTTTTCTTTCTTTTTAATATTTATTTATTTTATGTATATGAGTGCTCTATTTGCATGATTGCCTTTGGGCAAAGAGGATATCAGATTCCGCTACAGATGGTTGTGAGCCACCGTGTGGTTGCTGGGCATTGAACTCAGGACCTCTGGAAGAACAGCCAGTGCTCTTAACCACTGAGCCATCTCTCCAGTTCCCACTTGCTATCTCTTAGCTGGCTGGCTAAGTCAGTAAGTGTGACAAGAGCTGCAGTAGCACGCCTCATGTCCTATGTCCTACTAATCATTCCAGGTTGCTTGACCACTTGAGACAAAGGAACCTTTGGGAGGCAGGACTGTTGCATTTTATCTAAAGGGTGTGTGTGTGTGTGTGTGTGTGTGTGTGTGTGTGTGTGTGTGTGTGTGTGTGTGTGCCTGTTTGAGCAGGGTCTCATGTATCCCAGGCTGGCCTCTTAACTCTCTATATAGTTAAGGGTGAATTTGATCTTCTGGTCTTCCTTCCTCTGACTCTCAAATGCTGTGGTTATAGGTTTGTGCCTGGTTTATGTAGTGCAGGGGATGGAACTCCAGGCTCCCTGCACGCTAGGCAAGCACTCCACCACTGATGTGTTCTACCAACGTGCATTTCTGCAGATATCATCAAAGCTCATCAAGATGTACTCTCAAGATTTGTAAACCAGGCCAGGCAGCCATGGCGCACACCTTTAATTCCAGCACTCAGGAGGTAGAGGCATGTGGATGTCTATGTGTTTGAGGCTAGCCTGGTCTACTGAGCTAGTTCCAGGATAGGATAGCCAGGGCTACATAAAGAAATCCCTTATGGAAAATAACACAAACAAAAAAAAGATTCATAAATTATACCTGACTTAAAAGAAGAACCACTAAGAGAGAAACTAGAGCCTTTGAAAATAAAGTTTCTCACCAAAATGAAAAATTAAATATAAAGGTTAGGAAATAAATCTCTGAACACAGGGCAAGCACAAGCAGCTGCGGAGATCTACCCTAGCATCAGGCATTCTGGCTGGTACACACACCTAGAAAAATGGCCCTGAAGATGATACAAAAATACAGGAGCTAAACAATGAGATTGTATTTGTATTTTATATCTAGTTAATCAACTAAAACATTGCTTCAGCAATACTTAACTGCTGCTTTTTGACAAGTGAGCATATATAGTCTTTTCCAGGAGCTGGAGGAAAGCCAAGCACCATCCATCACATCAGGGCTTATCTTTTGCCCAGGAAAACTCACTGCTGCAAATCTGTCCAAAGATAATGTCTCAGTCTGCTTGAGCTGCTGTAACAAAATCCCATAAACTAGGTAGTTTATAAATAACAATTGACTTCTTACATTCCTGGAGAATGTGAGACACAAGTAAATTGGTGTGTGTGTGTGTGTGTGTACACGCATGCATGTGTGCGCTACAGCACAAGTGTGGGAGATCAGAAGACAATTCTTCCCTTTCACTAGGTGGATTGTGGAGACCAAACTCAGGTCATCAGGCTTGGTGGCAAGCATCATTACCCACCGACTCATCTCACTGGCCTCTGAGTTGCTTTTATTTCATTGAGACAGGCTCACTATGCAGCCCTGGTTGGCCAGGAACTCCCGGTGCCCGGTGATCTGCTCGACTGCTGAGGGGCCAGGTTCTGAGTGGTTTTTTTTTTTTTTTTTTTTTTTTTTGGTTTTTCGAGACAGGGTTTCTCTGTGGCTTTGGAGGCTGTCCTGGACCTCGCTTGGTAGTCCAGACTGGCCTCGAACTCACAGAGATCCGCCTGCCTCTGCCTCCTGAGTGCTGGGATTACAGGCGTGCGCCACCAATGCCCGGCAGTTCTGGGTATTTTTACAAGCAAGCAATATAATCTGTTTTCGAAGGGCTAATCCTGTTTTCGAAGGGCGATAGTCTTACATAGGAAAGCAGTATTTTTTGTTATGTAGCCCAGGGATCCTCTTGCCTCAACTCCCCACGCGCTGGGGTTTCAGTCGGGCCATCACCAGCCCAGTTCCAGGCAGTAATTTTAGTAATCTTTCTTTCTTTTGAAACAGGGTCTCAATGTGTAGTCCAATTTGTGGCAATTCTCCTGTCTCAGCTGAGCGCTGGAACTTATAGGAGTGTGCCACCGTGACAGATGAGTCTTTTCTTTTTTAAAATCTATGTAGCTATGGCTGTTCCGGAACTCACTATATACACCAGGCTGGCCTCGAACTCAGAGATCTGCCTGCCATTGTCTTCCAAGTGCTGGGACTCGGTGTGAGCTCCTTTGTCCGACCAAACATTAATCTTAAAAAGGAAAAAAAATGGAATTCGTGGAGATGTTCACTGCAGTATGATGTCTTACGCTGTAAATCCGAAACTTGGACGCCCAATAAAGGAGTAACCTTTAACACAATGGAATGCCTTTCACCCTCAGTCGCAGGAAACCCAGAGCCACCGGGAACGCACACTACTCAAAGGGAGGCAGCATCCCTTTACCTAAGAAACATCACTACGGAGCCAGGCTAGGAATCCACAACGCAGCGCACGCACGGGCCCTTTCTGCTTCTGCCTGATTCTAACTCTCGGAGCATCGAGGAAAAAAAGTCGCGCAGCTCTGCTGGGGTTCCGCAGCGCGCGCCCTGCCCTTTCAACGGCTGCGCAGAGGCGCGAGGCAGCCATAGCGGACCCCGGTGCCGACCCAGCAGGGGGCATCGCGGGAACCCGGCCGAGACGCTGGGAGGCGACCGAGCCTGGTGCTAGGGGGCGCTGCGGAACACGGTGGGGGGTGCGAGACGGCGGCGGGGCCCGGAGCCAGGGGACGCTGTGCGCGGTCCCCCGCGCCCCTCCTCCCGCCCGACGCGCTGCTCGACCCCGCGGCCGCTGGAGGCGGGAGCGCGGAGCGAGCGCAGGAGCGCGCGGCGGTCCTGGCCCCCGCGGGAGCGCGGCTGCGGGACCGAGCAGGGGCGGTGGGTGGGCAGGCCTCTTGTCTTAGCCTGCGCAACGGCCCGAGCGCGGGCTGCGGTCCCCGGGGATGCTAGCGGTGGCGGCTCGGCCGGCAGGGTCCCGAGCGGCGGGAGGCCGGCCGCGTACGGTAACGGGCCAGCCGGGGTGCGGGCGATGACTCCTGCCTGCAGGCCGCGGGCGTTGCGGCCCCCGGGTGCCCGTTGAGCTCCGAGGGCCGGAGGGGGCTGGGCGGGCCTGCGGGGGAGCCCCCGTGGCAGGTGCCTGCCCCAGCGGTGACCCAGCTCCTGCTTCCCAGCTCCTCCCTCTTTGGCCCGGACCCAATCTCCAGGGGCTAAAAATATTGCCCGGAGGCTCCTGAGCGGAATCAGTTCGCGCTAAGTAGGACGCAGGGTGAGGTGACAGAGCTCTTCAGCACCAGGGCCGGAAGAGCAGACTCCAGGACGCGGTCCCGCCCACGCGCGTTCAGCAGCTAGCGTCCTCCCTCCGTCACAGGCAAGTGGGGACCCGCGGGCGGTGACAGCGGGCACTGTGGGTCCTCTCGAGTTGCCCCGTTACCGAGAAGTTGCGCCTGGCTTCCGATACCCTGGGGACTTGAGTCTCGGCCGCTGGCTTCTCCTGAGTCCCTTAAAGCGCTCTGGAAGCCAGGACTGGAAGTTTTGCACTGCAGGAGTCAGTACTGACCGGGAGAATACTAGACTACTAATACGGGGTTGCTAGAAACGAGAGCGTTTCTTCTTTAAAAAGAAATCCATTCTGTATTCTTGCTGAGGCAGGGTCTGGATCAGGCACTGTTTCTGCTGAGTAGCTGTCTGACCCAGGAGTAGCCGGCTTGGCTTTCTCTCCAGCCGGTGATTGTACCTCTATGTCAAACAACATAGAAGCCTTGGTATTTATTCATCTGAAGGGAGGAAACACATGGCTAGGGAGCCTGGGCAGGCATTCTTTGCGGGCAGAGTCCTGAGCAAGCTGTTTGCAATCAGTGGTTTTGTAATGAAGTGTGGGTCAGAGCAGAGGCTCTGTTACCTCTGCTTTTGTTTTTGTTTTTAATGTGTTGCATTTGTTTATTAGTGAGCGTGTACGCCACAGAAAACGTGTGGCAACCAGAGGGCAGTTTGTGGGAGTTGCGTTTTCTATTCCCACCGTGTGAGTCAAATGGATTATCTTGGCTGTCAGGCTTGGCTGCAAGTGCCCTTACCTACTGAGCCGTCTAACCCGCCCCACACACACCCGGCATCCTGGTTTTTATAGCTCCAGTTGAGGAGAGGCAGAACTTCTGTCCTACAGGACCCACGCCCAGATCTATGTGCTCCTTGTGTGCTGGGAGTCTCAACCAAGATTTGGTTGTTGGAAGCTCCCTTTCTTTCTACCAGAGTCAGGCACAAGTAGGTGCTCCTTGGGAATCCAGAAGGCATTGGATAGGAAGACCGGCAGAAGGAGTCTGCATGCCAAACTACAGATGGTGTCTCTCCTGCCAGGTGCGTGTGGGGCCAGTATGAAGTTGAAGAAGCAGGTGACGGTGTGTGGGGCTGCCATCTTCTGTGTGGCCGTCTTCTCCCTCTACCTGATGCTGGACCGGGTGCAGCACGATCCTGCCAGACACCAGAACGGTGGGAACTTTCCCAGGGTGAGTCACACCTTGTTCTCAGATGCAAGTCACACCAGGGCTTGGACATCTCCCCAGCAGGGAGTGCTGTGTCGGTACGGGACAAGAACACGCCCCTCCCTCCTGTCTTAGGGATTAGTCCAAGAGCCTGGTGCAGGCCGGCAGGATACATGATCTACAGCTGAGATGTAGCCCAGGAACATTCGTAGGCACATCTTTTGGAGGTGGATGCCCATCTTGTTAAGCGCATGCTCCACCACTGGGCTGTGCTCCTGGCCAGGACAGGAAGTGGAAAGCAGCAATGGGAGAAGGAGGACAGTGGCCATGTGTATTGCTGGTCCGAGTCGAGTTCTTGGCAGACACTGCTAATTTTCCATTAAGTTGAATGCAGCCCTCAACACCATGCTTGCTTGAGGCAGGAAGTACAGTCGCTGAGCACAGGCACGCGAGATGAAATGTTTGCTGTCCACGAGCTGGAGGGCGGTGCTGCTAACAAGCCTAGTGGATAGGGGTCTGCCCGAGTGATGTGCGGCCTTCGACCGTAGGCCCACGGTCTGGCTGGGCCTCATACACCAGACAGGCATCAGGTGGTGGCCCCAAGCAGGAATTCTTCCCGTGACAGGGAGCTGGGAGTGATTACTTTCTGTTCTTAATTTTGGCAGAGCCAAATTTCCGTGCTGCAGAACCGGATCGAACAGCTGGAACAACTGTTGGAGGAGAACCACGAGATCATCAGCCACATCAAGGACTCTGTGCTGGAACTGACAGCCAATGCGGAGGGCCCGCCAGCCCTGCTGCCCTACCACACAGCCAACGGCTCGTGGGCTGTGCTCCCAGAGCCCCGGCCCAGTTTCTTCTCTGTCTCCCCACAAGACTGCCAGTTTGCTTTGGGGGGCAAGGGTCAGAAGCCAGAACTTCAGGTAAGAGCTGGTGCTGGCGGGGACTTCCCGTGGTGGCTCCTGGGTGCTGAGCCACGTTCCTCCCTGGCAGATGCTAGCTGTGTCTGAGGACTTGCCCTTTGACAATGTGGAGGGTGGCGTGTGGAGGCAAGGCTTTGACATCTCCTACAGCCCGAACGACTGGGACGCTGAAGACTTGCAGGTGTTTGTGGTACCCCACTCTCACAATGATCCAGGTGAATGCCCAGCCAGCCCGGCGGCCAGGGTAGGGGACGCTTTCTAATGACGGACACAAGGAGGGACGCAGCTGATGTGGGCGGCGCATTCAGGGAACGTGTGTTGGCTCCACCAGGCTGGATCAAGACTTTTGACAAGTACTACACAGAACAAACCCAACACATCCTCAACAGCATGGTGTCCAAGCTGCAGGAAGACCCCCGACGACGCTTTCTCTGGGCAGAGGTCTCCTTCTTCGCCAAGTGGTGGGACAACATCAGTGCCCAAAAAAAGGCAGCAGTCCGAAGGTCAGTAGTAGTTGGGAAGGCGCGGGAGAGTCATCTCAGCCCTAGCTTGTTCTGGTCTCATTCTGTGGGTACCAAGCTTGTGAGTATTCTCTGGCTGAAGGAGGCCAATGCATGCAGTCCCTGTCATCCTCTGGCTGCCGGGACCAAGCAAAGGGTCCCTGCCACATCCTGAGTGTGCCTTCATCCTTAGGCTGGTGGGAAACGGGCAGCTGGAGATTGCAACAGGTGGGTGGGTGATGCCAGATGAGGCCAACTCCCACTACTTTGCCTTGATTGACCAACTCATCGAGGGACACCAGTGGCTGGAGAGAAACCTGGGTAAGTCTGGAAACGGGAGCTAGACTCTGCCCCAGAGCTGGGCCTGACTGCTGTGGCAAGATGCTGTGAGGTACAGGGGTTGGCAGGTAGTTGTTCCTTTCTAGGCTCATGCAGCTATCTGGTGGGCACTAGGAAGCCAGAGGGCCAGTCCCTGAGGTATTCGGGGCCTTTGAAATCTGTGCTCTGCCCAGGTGCAACCCCACGCTCGGGCTGGGCAGTGGACCCCTTTGGGCACAGCTCCACCATGCCTTACCTGCTGCGCCGTGCCAACCTGACCAGCATGCTGATTCAGAGGGTACATTATGCCATCAAGAAGCACTTTGCTGCCACTCACAGCCTGGAGTTCATGTGGAGGCAGCTGTGGGGTAAGGCCAAGGAGGGGCATGAGTATTGTAGCTGTGTAGTCTTCACTGGGGAAGGGGAGGTTAATTAGAAATCCGCCCCTGTGGTCCCTAAGGGCAGACTGCCTGAAACAACTCTGCTCTCGGGCTAGGAGAGTCATGCTGACCCCTGATTGGCTTCTGTGGGCATACCTCCTGCAGGAGCTGTGGCTTTGGGAGCCCCATGTCCTAGTCCCAGCCTGCACATGCTCTACAGTCTACCCTGTCTTTTTCTGCAGACACAGACTCCAGCACAGACATCTTTTGCCACATGATGCCCTTCTACAGCTATGACGTCCCACACACCTGTGGCCCTGACCCCAAGATCTGCTGCCAGTTCGATTTCAAACGTCTGCCGGGTGGACGCATCAATTGCCCCTGGAAGGTGCCACCCCGGGCTATTACGGAGGCCAACGTGGCAGACAGGTATCGGCTGTCAGCCCTGCTTGGACAAGGTGCGGGGTGTGGGGTTTTGAGCAATGTAGCCCAGCGTTACTCAATCCCCCTGCCTCCGTCTCCTGAGAATGGGGTGGCAGGTCTTTGTTACCTGTTACCACCCAGCTGGTATTGACATTTGCTCGTCAGAGGATTTGGGCTGAAACATGGCTTCTGGTCTCGGCTGTGCCACACAGGACTGACCATACCTGGAAAGAAGGGCAGAGTCTGGTGGAGAGTTTAGGCCACACATCAGCAGTAGCGACTCCTTCCTGCCTCCCTGGGGAATGGGAAGAGCGCTTAGCTTCTTTTTCAGAATGCTTTTGCTTTCCCCAGTGAGGATGCCTTCTGATACCCTAATAGACTGGGAGACATTCCCCGCCCCCCCTTTCTCTTTGAGACAGGATCTCATATTCCAGGCTGGCTGGCCTCAAACATCCTCTGTTTCCTGAGTGCTGGGTTACACGCATGACTCACCACACCTGGTTTATGCCCAAATCAGGGGTTTGGGAAGCTGGGCAAGCACTCTGCCAACTGAGCTACATCCCCAGCCCTAAACAATTCTTTTTTTGGTTTTTCGAGACAGAGTTTCTCTGTATTGCTTTGGAGCCTGTTCTGGAACTCACTCTGTAGACCAGGCTGGCATCGAACTCACAGAGATCCGCCTGCCTCTGCCTCCCGAGTGCTGGGACTAAAGGCGTCTTTTTTTTTTTTCTGAGACAGAATCTCACTATGTAGTTCTGGCTGTCTTGTAACTCAGTATGCACACCAGGCTGGCCTCAAGCTTGCAGAGATGTGCCTATCTTTGCCTCCCAAGTGCTGGGACTAAAGGCGTGTGTCACTATGCCTGGCACCTGCCCTAAACAGTTTTTACATTGGTACCATTTCTTGCAAACTTTCAGCTGCTGTTCCTCATTTGACTCAGGTTCTCTGGATCAGCTCCAGGTCAGACAGGTGGATCTTCTGTTCTCTAGGTCCAAATCCTATTCGGACCCACCCGGTCCTGCTGGAGAACTCTAGTCTCTGAGAAAAAAGACCTGTCCCTTCTAAAGGACCTCAAAGATGTCACTGTGGCTAAAGTTAGACCCCTACGAAAGTATCAGTTAAGGTTGATGTAAATGTCATTTTAGCTGAAGTGTTGAGAATGTGGTAATAGCAGCAGCAGTGGCTCATGCTTGCAATCCAGGCAAGCACCCAAAAAGCTACTTTTCTTTGTTTTCTTTTGGGGGGACAGGGTTTTTTCATGTAGCTTTGACTTGCTCAGTACTCATTCTGTAGCTCAGGCTAACCCCAAACTTGCAACAATCCTCTTACCTCAGCCTCCGGGTGTTGGGAATACAGGCACATGTCACTATACCTGGCAAGAAAAAGCCTCTAATGACATGCTGTAAGACTGTATTGGATAGATAACATGGACAAAAAATAAATGTTCTCATACAGTTCAAGCAAGGCACCTTTCTTCGTATGTATGGAGGGGGGCTTTAGACAGAGTCTCATGTAGCTGTGGCTGTCCTTGAACTTGCTGTGTAGGTGAGAATGGGCTTGAACTACTGATACCCCAAAGGTGCTGGGGTTATAGGAATGTGCTACAACACCCAGCAGGCCTTCTCTGTGTAGACCTGTCTGGCTTCAAACTTGGAATTTTCTTGCCTCAGCTTCTCAAGTGCTGGGATTACAAGGATATACCACTATGCCTAGCTTTTCATGGAAATTCTTTTTCTTTTTCTTTTGTTAAGACAGGATCTCATTATGTAGTCCTGGCTGGCCTGGAACTCGCTATAGAGATTAGGCTGGCTTCATACATGGCCTTATACATGCCTGCCTTCTGTCTCCCAGTGCTGGAGTTAAAAGCGAGTGCTAAACTGGGTGGTGGTGGCGCATGCCTTTAATCCCAGCACTCGGGAGGCAGAGGCAGGCAGATGTCTGTGAGTTCGAGACCAGCCTGGTCTACAAGAGTGAGTTCCAGGACAGCCTCCAAAGCCACAGAGAAACCCTGTCTTGAAAAAAAAAGAAAAAAGCGAGTGCCGCCAGGCATAGTTTGCAGGCATGTGGACCCACCTTTGTGGATGCATATCCAGGTCTGTGAGTGTGTATGGAGACCAAGGCTGACATCAGGAACCTTCCTTGGTCTCTCTCTACCTTATTGAAAAAGTTTCTCAGCTGAATCCAGAGCTCATCTCCAATATGGACTGGTTTAGCTATGCAGCTTGCTCTGGGGATCCCGTCTGCTTCTGAGCTCTGATATTAAAGTCAGGCCACCATGCCCACTGGCATTTACATGTTTGTGGGGGTCCCAAATTCCAGCCCTCACACTCAGTGGCAAATGTTTTATCTACTGAGCCACACCCCCAGGCCCCATTCACTGGGACTTCATGTCGGGCCTGTGACCTGTTTGCAGGGCTGCCCTGCTCCTGGATCAGTACCGGAAGAAGTCCCGGCTTTTCCGAAGCAATGTCCTCCTCGTGCCATTGGGCGATGACTTCCGATATGACAAGCCTCAGGAATGGGATGCCCAGTTCTTCAACTACCAGCGGCTCTTTGACTTCCTCAACAGCAAGCCGGAGCTCCATGTGCAGGTGGGAGGCGTGTGTGGGTCTGCGGCTACCGTCTGGAGGCTGGCCCTCCTGAACCAGTCCTGGGCAAGGTTCCTGTGTGGTGGATCAGAATTCATCCCCGTTCCCCAGAAGAGCAAGACATACAAATCTGCTGCCCTTTGCTAGACAAAGTTCTCACCCCTGCCCACATCTGCAGCATTGTGGAATGGTGACCAGAGATCCCAGGAGGCTCTGTCATTGATGGAAGCTTGTTTTGGGTTCCTACAGGCCCAGTTTGGGACCCTCTCTGAGTATTTTGATGCTCTCTATAAGAGGACAGGAGTGGAGCCTGGTGCCCGGCCTCCAGGGTTTCCTGTGCTGAGTGGAGATTTCTTCTCCTATGCTGACCGGGAGGACCACTACTGGACAGGCTATTACACTTCCCGACCTTTCTATAAGAGCTTGGACCGAGTCCTAGAAGCCCATCTGCGGTGAGAACTGCCTACCTCCCCTTGCTGAGTTTGAGTTAACCTTTGAGGTGTAGGAGGAGCAGGGTAGGGAGGGAGGACACCATCAGGGTTGAACAGAACCAGAAGACTGACTTTTTTCTCTGGGTAGTGGGGCAGAGGTTCTATACAGCTTGGCTGTGGCTCATGCCCGCCGCTCCGGACTGGCTGGCCAGTACCCACTGTCTGATTTTGCTCTTCTGACGGAAGCTCGGCGCACACTGGGGCTCTTCCAGCACCATGATGCCATCACCGGAACTGCCAAGGAGGCGGTGGTAGTGGACTATGGGGTCAGGTAGGAGCCACCCCCCATTTCTTTTTTTTTTTTTTTTTTTTTTTTTTGGTTTTTTGAGACAGGGTTTCCCTGTGGCTTTGGAGGCTGTCCTGGAACTCGCTCGGTAGACCAGGCTGACCCCCCCATTTCAAAGAGAGGATATGTGGGTGGTTGGTGGGCAGGCTGCTGAGGGCTGGTCCCGCTGGCATGGCAGATAGCCTCCCCATGGCCTCCATCTCTCAGTTTCCTCTCGTGCCTACCACAGGCTGCTGCGGTCCCTGGTTAGCCTGAAGCAGGTCATCATCAATGCTGCTCACTATCTGGTGCTGAGCGACAAAGAGACCTACGAATTTGACCCTGGGACACCCTTCCTTCAAATGGTGAGTCCCTCCTGCGTCTGCTTGACAGACTGTGCGGTGTGGGTGGTACCACCCTAAGAGCTGCTATTGGTGGGCACTGTTCCTCTGTTCCCTTTTCTTGTCTTGGAGTGCAGATTCCATGCCTAGGTCGTTGGTGGTCTGGACAGGTTGGGGTGGGGGGGCTAGCCCACTCATCCTTCTCTCTTCCCGCCCACGTCTTTGCAGGATGACAGTCGTTTAAGTCACGATGCCCTGCCGGAGCGCACAGTGATCCAGCTGGATCCCTCCTCCCCCAGGTGAGCCAAGGCCCCCCCCAGCTCCTCACAGTGCAGGGGGCACGGGTTCTGGCTGCTGCTCTGTCCTGCCGCTGCAGCACGCTGGGTCAGCCCACCTTCCGCCCACAGGTTTGTGGTGCTGTTTAACCCACTGGAACAGGAGCGGCTCAGTGTGGTGTCCCTGCTGGTCAACTCCCCAAGGGTGCGAGTCCTTTCAGAGGAGGGCCAGCCCCTGTCTGTGCAGATCAGTGCGCACTGGAGCTCGGCCACTAACATGGTCCCCGATGTCTACCAGGTGAGGCAGGGCTCAGCCCTCCTGCTTAGCAGTACCTCTCCTGGGGCCTCGGGAACACCTGCTTCCCACTGCTCTGCTGGGTTCTGCTTACCCCCAGGATGGAGGCAGGTGGCTTGGGGAGAGGCATTGCCTGAAGGACAGTCACTCTTGGGATTTGAGTATCTTTAAAGGGATGGTGAGGACACTGTGGTAATAATTATACTGAGCGCAACAATAGTGCCCTCAGCTGCTCATCAAGTATTTATTGTTTGCTTCATTGTGATGGGGTCTTATATGTTGCCCAACCTGATCTCTAATTCCTGGACACAAGCTTCTAATGATGATTTATTGTGTTGACTTAACTATGTTTTTCATCTGTAATATGGATGAAAAATAAATGTTCAGGTATAGATCATGGCCGGCACTGCTCTAAGTGCTTAAATATCTAATTCATTCAGAATTTATTTTAAAGACAAGACCTCATTGTATAGTTCAGGTTGGCTTCAAAGAAACTCTGGTTCAGCCTCCTGACTGTTGGGATACACCGATGTACCATCACTCCTGGCTTTCATTAAACTCTTTCAAGTGTACATAGTTACACAATCCTCATTTCACCAGAAACAGCAGTCCAGAGAGGTTAAGGTACTTGCCTAAGGTCGCTCAGAGAGTATATGCAACCTGCTTCAGACCCTAGGCTCTCAACTGAGAGCCCCTTGGCTGACAGGCATGCAGAACCAAGATCCCAAAACAGACAGGTAGAAGCGTAAGGTTCCACGCTGGCTTCAGAAAACAGAATGTGGAGGTCAAGGATGAAGGGAGAAGGCGGCCTGTGAGGACAGATGCTCACCTGCTCCTCTCTGCCCCTGGGCCCACAGGTGTTGGTACCCATCCGTCTGCCAGCCCTGGGCCTCAGTACGCTGCAGCTGCAGCCAGACCTTGATGGGCCCCACACAGTGCCGTCTTCCGTACGTGTCTACCTGAATGATGTGAAGCTGTCAGTGAGCAGGCAGACGGCATTCCCACTCCGTGTCATGGACTCGAGCACCAGTGACTTTTCCATCAGCAATCACTACATGCAGGTCTGGTTCTCCGGCCTTACTGGGCTCCTCAAGGTAAAGGGCCAGGCCGGGGGTGGTGGGGAGGGACCAGGGGAGGGAGGGCACAGGCACCAGGGAGCTTGTGTCTAGCTGTTCCTGGCCCCATGCGCCTCCTATCGCCTGACGTACAGCTCTCAAGCTGACAGCATGGCAAAGGCTGAGTGTGTTAATCATCCACAACTGTGTCTGTGACTTGTAAAGAAGAGAAGGTTTATTTCTGCTTACAGTTTTGAGCTTTGAGCCTACAGTTAGGCAGACCCATTGCTTTGGGGCCTGGAGTTAGGCAGGGAACAAATCTTAGTGAAGTAAATTACTTCACAACCAGGATGCAGACGTTGGGTGCTGTGGTGCAGACCTGTAATTTCAGCAATGGAGGGGGCAGAAGCAAGAGGGTCAGAAGGTCAAGGTCATCTTTGACTGTATAGCAAGTTTGAGGCCAAGCTGGACTGCATGAGATCCTTACCTCAAAAAAGTTTAAAGAAAGAAGTTGGAGCTGGGCGTTGGTGGCACACGCCTTTAATCCCAGCACTCAGGAGGCAGAGGCAGGCAGATGTCTGTGAGTTCTAGGCCAGCCTGGTCTACAGAGTTAGTTCCAGAATAGCCAGAGCAGCGCAGAGAAACCCTGTCTTGAAAAACTGCAGAAAGGAAGGAAGGAAGGAAGGAAGGAAGGAAGGAAGGAAGGAAGGAAGGAAGGAAGGAAGGTAGGTTAGGTTCAGTCGTATACACCTTTCTTTTTTTGTTTTTTCGAGGCAGGGTTTCTCTGTATTGTTTTGGAGGCAGTTCTGGAACTCGCTTTGTAGACCAGGCTGGCCTCAAACTCACAGAGATCCGCCTGCCTCTGCCTCCTGAGTGCTGAGATTAAAGGTGTGCACCACCAACTCCTGGCCGTATACACCTTTCTTTAATCCTAGCACTTGAGAGGCTGAGACAGGTAAATTCAAGGACAGCCTAGTCTACATGGTGGGTTCCAGGTCAGCCAGAAATACACAGTGAAATGATGTCTCAGCAGGAAGGAAGGCTGGGATCCAGTTGCAGAGAGAAGGACTGATGAGCAACCCGCAGAAACCGTTGACCTGAACGAGGGGGAGCTCATGGACCCCAGACTGATGGCTGGGAGGCCAGCATGGGACTGATCCAGACCCCCTGTATATGGTGTCAGTTAGGAGGCGTGGACAATCTATGGGGCCTCTGGTAGTGGCTCAGTATTTATCCCTAGTATATGAATGGAATTTGGAAGCACATTCCATATAGAAGGATATTCTTTCAGCCTAGACACATGGGGGAGGGCCTAGACCTACTCCAAATGATATGACAGACTTTGAACCCCATGGAAGGCCTTACCCTCCCTGGGGAGTGGAAAGTGGATGGGATAGGGGGTCGGTGGGGGCAGGAGAGGAGGAGAGGGATAGGGAACTGGGATTGACATGAAAAACAAGCTTGTTTCTAATTTAAATAAAAAATTAAAAAAAAAACAAAATAAAAAAAGGAAGGACAGACAGACGAACGGACATAGACTGGAACAGCCAGAGCTACACAAAGAAATCCTGTCTCAGAAAAAAGAATGTGGCAGCTGGAGATACATGCCAGATAAGCAGTCTACCAACAGCTACAAGAAACCCTGGGTTTGGTCCCCAGCACTTCATAAACCTGGGTGTGGTGGTCCATGTCTGTAATCCCAGCATTGGGAGGTGAAGGTAGGAAGATCAGAAGTTAAGGTGCCCCTTTGGGTGGTAGCCCACTCCTCTAATTCTAGCACTCAGGAGACAGAGGCAGGCAGGCCCCTGAGTTCAAGGCCAGCCTGGTCCACAGATTGAGTTCTAGGACAGACAGGGCTACACAGAGAAACCCTGTCCAAAAAAAAAAAAGGAAGGAAGGAAGGGAGGAAGGAAGGAGAAGGGAAGAAAAAGTAGAAGGGAGGAAGGGAAATGATAGAGTCCCACTGTCCCCAACCTCGCCTTGTAGCAGCAGTCTGGGGACAAGCCCTTAACACACAGACCTTATAGGGGACCCTAAGATCCCAACTGTAGCACTGGCCTGGCTTCTTGGGGGCAGTCTGTCTGTGCCCTCCCAGGGGGAGACCTGACATGCTGGTGTGGGGCCAGGGGTCAGGGCTGTGTTTTTTGGCAGAGCATCCGAAGGGTGGATGAGGAGCAGGAGCAGAAGATGGACATGAAGCTCCTCATCTATGGTACCCGGACGTCCAAAGATAAGAGTGGTGCCTACCTCTTCCTGCCTGACAGCGAGGCTAAGGTACCTGAGACGCCTCACAGAACCTGGTGGGCCTTGTGGGTGGGGAGAGGAGCCTGGGAGGGACCTGGCATTCCTTCAGTGTCACTGCCTACTGTGTCCTGTCCAGTCCTGTCCTGTCCTGTGCTGTCCTGTCCTGTCCTGTGCTGTCCTGTCCTGTCCAGTCCTGTCCTCTCCTGTCCTGTCCTGTCCTGTCCTGTGCTGTCCAGTCCTGTCCTCTCCTATCTTGTCCTGTCCTCTCCTGTCCTGTCGTGTCCTGTCCTGTCCTGTCCTGTCCTGTCGTGTGCTGTCCTGTCCTGTCCTGTCGTGTGCTGTCCTGTCGTGTGCTGTCCTGTCCTGTCTTTGTTGCCTTGTGGAGCTTGGTGGGCTGTGGTCTTATCCAGATGGTCAGGCCACAGCACTGGGACGAGGACTTCTGTTGTCCCCCTGGGCTCTGCTGTGGCTTCAGTGACCACTCACTCTTTTCCCAGCCCTACATCCCCAAGAAGCCTCCTGTGCTGCGTGTCACCGAAGGCCCGTTCTTCTCAGAGGTGGCTGCGTATTATGAGCACTTTCACCAAGTGGTTCGACTGTACAACCTGCCAGGTGAGCCCTGCAGGAGGAGGTCACAAGGAGCTGTGAGTCCCGCAGGCTGGCACCCGTTCCTTTGTCCCATCTCTGCTGACAAGCAGATGTGTCCTTTGGCATGGGATGCTTCGGGATGCTTGATCTCTTGAGGAAAATCCAGTCAGCATGCCCTGGGAGCTCCCAGGAGGAGGGTGGGTAGAGGCTTCCCTGACATAGCCTCTCAGGCCCTGCTCACCTCACCTCTGGTTGCCCTGTGTGCAGGAGTAGAGGGGCTGTCTCTGGACATGGCATTCCAGGTAGACATCAGGGACTACGTGAACAAAGAGCTGGCCCTGCGCATCCACACGGACATTGGCAGCCAGGGCACCTTCTTCACAGACCTCAATGGCTTTCAGGTAATTCTTGGGCCCTGTGGGACAGACCTGGGACTGCTTTTGGCCTCCCAATATAGGTGCTGTGGGGAGGGTGACAAGGACTGGTGGCAGCTATGGGGCCAGTGAGATGGCTCAATGGGCAAAGCTTGGCCAGACCTGGCAAGCTGAGTTCAATTTCTGGAACCCTGACAGAGGTGGAAGGAGAGAACCCATTCCAAAGAGTTGTCTACTGATGTCCATGTGTGTGTCATGGCACATATACCCATGCTCATACATTACACAACACATACACCCATGCACACACATTACACACATACATACACCCATGCACACACATTACACACATAAACACACTTTTAAAAATTAGCTGGGCAGTGATGGCGCACGCCTTTAATCCCAGCACTTAGGAGACGGAGGCAGGCGGATCTCTGTGAGTTGGAGGCCAGGCTGGACTGACAGCCTCCAAAACAATACAGAGAAACCCTGTCTCGAAAAAACCAAAAAAAAAAAAATTAGCTGGGCAGTGATGGCACATGTCTTTAATCCCAGCACTTAGGAAACAGAGGCAGGGAATCTCCGAGTTCGAAGCCAGTCTGATCTACAGAGCAAGTTCCAGGACAGCCAGGGCTAAACAGGGAAACCCTGTATCTTTTTTTTTAATATTTATTTATTGTGTATACAGTCTTCTGCCTGCTAGCAGAAGGCACCAGATCTCATTCAAGGTGGTTGTGAGCCACCATGTGGTTGCTGGGAATTGAACTCAGGACCTCTGGAAGAACAGTCAGTGCTCCTAACTGCCAAGCCATCTCTCCAGCCCAAAAAGAGGCAATCATCGTATGGAAGGCTCTGTTTCTGCATTCCAGTGAATGTCAGAGAAGTCAGACCCTTGAAGATAGTTTACTTTTGTTTCTTTTTTGATAGTAGTGGGATTGAACCTTGGGTCTTATGCATGCAAGGCAGGTGCTCTGCCATGGAACTACATTCCCGGCCGGGAAACCCTGTATCTTAAAAAAAGCAGGCAAACAATAACAACAAAAACAAAACAAAGAAATAATAACCAGGGATTCCTTCACACTGAGAGCTTTCAGAACACAATCAGACACCATTCCTACCTGGCCTTGAACTCCTCCCGACAGGTACAACCCCGGCGATATCTAAAGAAGTTGCCCCTGCAGGCTAACTTTTACCCCATGCCAGTCATGGCCTACATCCAAGATGCAGAGAGGCGCCTCACGCTGCACACCGCGCAGGCTCTGGGTGTCTCCAGCCTCGGTGATGGTGAGTAGGGAAGCAGCCTACCCTTGCTCCAGCCGGTCCACTTTGTTGGCTGGGGAAGGGCTTCCTTCCCTCTTTCTAAGGCCCCGTCACCCCAAAGCTTGAGAAGGGGGTGAGCCATCCACAGCCCCTGTCAGTCACACTTGGGCAGCCTATTCTTGGGGGAAGCAGCTGGGTATTGAAGGGTTATTCTCAGCTGAGGGTGCAGCTCTTTTTTCTTTGTGTGTGTGTGTTTTTTTTTATTTTTGAGACAGGGTTTCTCTGTAGCCTTGGCTGTTCTGAAACTTGCTCTACAGACCAAATTGGCCTTGAACTCGGAGATCCACCTGTCTCTGCCTCTTGAGTGCTGAGATTAAAGGCGAGGCCACCACCAGGCAGGTGGTTACAATGTAGTATTTAGGAAAGGGGAAATATACATATCTCCTCCTAATGGTCAGTAAAAGAAAGGCTGACATTCTTACTAATCAAAGAACATCTCTGGGCCTAGCAGCACAGTCATGTGACCCCAGCTCCTTGGAGGCTGAGGTAGGAGGATCCTAAATCCAAACTCAGTCTGGGCAACTTAGCAGGCTTTGTTGTCTGGAGACTTAGCTCTGTGAAGGATCACTCACAGAGTGTGAGCGAGGTGTGAGGGTCCCCCCTCAGTACTGAGAGAGTGAGACGTTGTCAGGGACAAGGTGAAGGCTCCCCCATCCCCAGTGATCTCCATAGCCTTGGGACAAGATGAGCAGGGATTTGTGGACTCTGAGGCCCTAAAGGTATTTCTGTCTGTGGGGTATAGAGATCGTGAGGGCTGAACTGAGTGCAGGATTAAGGCTTTGCCACAGTCGTGGTGAGTGTTGTGCCCGCTTCTTCTATGGGAGGAGTGTGGCTCTCCTGCCTCCTGCCAGGGTTTTTGGGGATCTGTCTGTCTCAAAACTCCTGAATGCAGCCCATTGTCCTTGCTCTGTCAGCTGTCTGCCCCTCTGGGACATAGGGCATTAAATGATTATGTTCTATGCATGGAACCTATTTTAGGGTTGGGAATAGCTTCCTGTGTCTGCTCAGAGTACAAAGCCAAAGAGACTACAGAAATCAGAGTAAGGACTGTGGAGATGAAAGGGAACTTGGCCGTCTGTGGGGAAAGCTGTTGTGGGTCACTGGTGAAAGCCTTTTTTCCTCACACCCATCCGTCAGCTTTGCAGTGAGACCCTCCCCCAAGCATAGTCCAAACAGGAACAGAGATGGTCCTCTCCCGTCTCTCACTGGAGACCTTGCCGAGCCTTGCCTCCTGCCTGTCCTCACCATAGCCTGCTTCTGACAGACAAAGCCATCCACTCCAGTCTGGACTGCTGGGCCTTCTAGCTGATACTATTAGAGCAGAGGCAAGACAGCATGTTTCCAGCCTGAGAAAGCCCACCTCAGATGAGGGACTCTGCAGCAGTGTGGCAGACAGGCTTCTCGGATTTCTGGTTGCTGTTTCCTGAGTTCTGTGTGGATGGTCCCCAAGAGGTTTCCCGCTGGCCTAAGCCCAGCCCAGGGCATAAGTTCTACTCCCGAGTCGCAGTGCTCCTCTTTCTCGGCCTCCTGCTTCTTCATCTAGAGAAGTAAGGCAAGACACCTTCACTGCTCTCCCAGTACTAGAATCCATCATTCTCTCCTCTGAGTGACTCAGCTTGTCTGTCACTGGCCTTTTCCCTGGGTACCTGAGGTGGAGTGTCTGCTTAGACATGGACTTGGCAAGCTGGAGCTCACTGTTAACTTCCCCAGGCCAGCTGGAGGTGATCTTGGACCGACGGCTAATGCAGGATGACAACCGGGGTCTAGGCCAAGGGCTCAAAGACAACAAGATCACCTGCAACCACTTCCGCCTCCTGTTAGAACGGCGAACCTTGAGCCATGAGGTAAAATCTGGGCCCATTGTCCGGTGAGCTAGTGTAGGTTCCGCCCTGTGGGTGACCCTGTGGGTTCCCAGATGTGCCTGCAGGAGGGCAGAGGCAGACAGTAAGCTTATTTCCTGCATTGAGCCGGGAGGCTATGGCATTTGCTGGTCAATCTCATGCAGCCTGGCAGTCCCTCCCAAGCCACACCCTGTCACCTTGCCCCCGTCATGTTCATCTTCTGCCTTTCTCTGTGCTACCTCATCTTCCCCCTTCCAGCCTGAGCCTTTCCTAACCCTGACACAGCCCTGCTCACCTCTCTTTACCTCACCAGCCTGGTTTTTCCTCCAAACCGGCAGCCATGTTTAGGGGCTTGATATTTTCCAGCAACATGATCAGGCGCCTAAAGGTAAGGGTGAGCGAGGGCCTTGGTAGTCTAGGGTGAGCAGTCTAGCCCTGTAGTTGGAGTCTGCTGCCTAGCACCCTGCAGGTGGGGCTTAGTCACCTGTTCCTAGGTAGATGCTGAGCCCCTGCTGTGCTGTGGGAACTAAAGGACACGGGCCCATGCACACCCCCCTTGGGCCCTGCTAGTGAGCAGGATGGGGCTGCCCTGAGTGCAGAGTGCAGGGCTGAGGTGGGGTCTCCTTGGGCCACATGGACTGAAGACGAGGTGGAAGATGGCGTCACCAGCCTCAGCTTTCATGAGTGGGAGCCGTGCACACAGTAGAAGGCAGCGATGACAGTGTGGAAGGGACACTAGTGGCTTTAGAGCGGTGCTGACCAGCATGGCAGCCACCATCCACAGGTGCTGGCCATTTCTTGGTACTTGCACTGAACCCAGGGCTGCTTTGCGCATGTTAGGCAAGTGTTTTGTCACTAAGCTAAGTCTCCAGTCGTGTGTGTGTGTGTGTGTGTGTGTGTGTGTGTGTGTGTGTGAGAGAGAGAGAGAGAGAGAGAGAGAGAGACAGAGAGAGACAGAGAGAGACAGAGAGAGAGAGAGAGAGAGAGAGAGAGAGAGAGTGTGTGTGTGTGTATATAACTTGGGCTACTCTCTTGATTTAGTGAGGATAACCTCAGGGCTATCTTTGGTTAACCTTGATTTTGGTCTCACTGTTGCCTAGGCTGACTTTGAACTCCTGATTTCAAGTGAGCCTCTAGTCTCAGCTTCCCAAGTAGCTAAGACCACAGACATATGCCACTGTGCCCAGTTACCTGTGCCTGTTTACTTATTTGGTTTTTTTTTTTTGAGACAAGGTCTCATGTAGCCCAGGCTAGCCTTCATCTTCCTGCCTCCGTTTCTCAGGGGTTAGAATTATAGGAGTATATCGCCATACTTCAAATAAGTTGAGGTTGTCACTCACACCAGTGACACTCCTTGGGCCAGGTATGGTGGCACATGTCTTCAACTCTGGCATTCAGGAGATAGAGGTGGGTGGATCTCTATGAAGGTGAAGCCTGGTCTGCAATGGGAATTCCATTGTAAGATCCTGTCTCAGAACAATAAAGAAAAAAATGACAGGGAGCTGGAGAGATGGCTTAGTGGTCCTCAACACTCACAGGGCAGGCAGCTCAGGGCCATCTGTTAATTCCAGTTCAAGGGGTACAATGGTCTCCAGGAGCACTGCCTACATGAAAGTGTGCAGACATATATGCAGGCAGCCCATGCACACACACAAACTAATAATAATAGTGGTTTTTAAAATTACATTGAAGTCCCCAGTGGTCCCAGGTGGGCAGTAGCTATCACAGAAAGCATAGCAGATGGTGTTTCTGTTATTTCAGAAGACTCCATGAGCCAGTGCTGGTCTAGAGCATGATGGGAGGGCTGGGCAGAGCAGACTGCAGAGATCTCGGGGGCCTAGCCAGAGTCTGCAGACAGTGGAAGGTCTTGAGTAGGGAGGGTGCTGTCAGGGTTTGCCCTCAGCTGTCAGGACTGCCAGCAGCAGAGTGACTCTGGGGGGAGACAAGGCAGGGATGACAGTGTCAAGATGTTGAAACAGGAAGCCTTAGTGACTTCAATTAAGCCCAAGGGTAGGAACACGAAGTTGTAGTGACAGTGTGTTCAAGACATTGCAGAAGCAAAATGGAAGAGGGCTAGGCCTGCGTGGGCTTGAAGGGTGAAGGGCGTCTGCATATAGGGCACCCAGAGGCTGGTGCCAGGTCAGGGGTCAGCACACAGAAATGCAGTGGCTGTGAGAAAAGTCCGTGTGGATGTGGCATCCTGGGAGCCACCTGAGGAATGGTCTCACCAGCTCAAGCCGGCAGTGTGGATGTGGCGTCTTACCGTGGGACAGTCACCATCAGAAGCCTGTCCATAGTGAAACATGTCTGCTGTCCATCTCTGTGTGTGGTGACAGCATTAATGAGAGTACATCCTTTATGATAGTGTTAAAGAAGCCACAAAGGAAAACATAGACGTGGGCTTAGTAACATGACCCTCTCTAAGTTGAGTACCAGGAGAAGTAGCCACTCGTGAAGGCTGGAGGTTCAGGGCCTGGAACCAGGCAGCCAGAGTCCACGTGAACCAGGGAAACTGTTCTGAAAGGATCTGGCCTGTCTCCTCTTCACCCTGTAGCCGGCTCTGCTCCCTCACCTACATTTTAGGTCCATCTTGCAGGTCCAAGATGAGCGCTCTACCAGCTACCCGTCCCTCCTCAGCCACCTGACGTCCATGTACCTCAACACGCCTCCACTCGCCTTGCCCGTGGCCAAGAAGCAGGTCACCAGCTCCACGCTGCGCTCTTTCCAACCTCTGGCTTCCCCACTGCCCTGCGACTTCCACCTGCTCAATCTGCGCACGATCCCGGCTGAGGTAAGTGCTCCAGTGGGCTCGAAGGCTCAGCACCAGGTTGTGGCGTCCCCTCTTTTGGCCTTGCCTCGTGCAGAAGTGCTGCCAGCCTCCACGCCCTGCCCGACTGTCTTCCAGGACACCCTGCCTTCAGCCGATGCTGCGCTCATCTTGCACCGCAAGGGTTTTGACTGTGGCCTCGAGGCCAAGAACTTGGGCTTCAACTGTACCACAAGCCAGGGCAAGGTGAGCAGGGCCCGGTGTGGGGCCTGGCAGGGCCCCTGGTCAGGACAGTGAGCCGGGATTTCTGCAGTAGCTTTCTGAGAGCTTCGAGGGAGGCTGGACTAGGGGTTGGCAGAACCTCAGGTCTCCCCAGAGACAAAGGGGAGGCTGAGTGATTCTAGTGTTGAGTTGGGCAGGAGCAGTTTCAGATACGGCACGGAACTAGAAAACTGGACGAGGGACCTGTAAGAGCCAAGTGGGCAACGAGAAATGATAACTGCTGCCCCTTTTGAAGCATGAGTCATGGTGTCCGCTGGCACTTGGCTGGCTCTGGTTACTCAGAAGTGAACCCAGACACAGTCCTTGTTCTCAAACACAGCTTGGTGTAATAGTTCGTGCACCAGGTACCTGGACAGGCCCCGGGCTTGAGTAGATTGCAGCAAAGCCCTGTCTGAGGCCTGCTGCTTTTGAGAGGACTGTAGCTTCTGTAAGATCATTTCCTTCTTTTTATATCTATTTATCTTATTTTTATTTTTGGGACAAGGGCTTATGTAAGCTGGATACAGCCTTACTGTGTAACCAAAGCTGAGTTGAACTCCCGAGCTACCTGACGCTACCTCCCAAGAGCCACAACTGTGTGTCACCGTGGAGCATTACTTTACCTCTAAGGAACTGAGAGAGAGAGCTAGGTGTGGCAGCTCACAATGGAATCCTAACACTCAGGAGACTGAGACAGGGTTGCTTGAGTTTGAGGGCAGTCTTGATTATAGAGTGAGACCCTGTCTGAAAAATAACTAAAAGGTAGTACTTGATATAAGGAGGAATTTAACCCAGTGTTAGCAGTGCCCAGCTCAGCCTGCCTTTCTCTCTTCACAGATGGCCTTGGGAGGTCTCTTCCATGGCCTGGATGTGGTATTCCTGCAGCCAACCTCGTTGACTTTGCTGTACCCTCTGGCCTCACCCTCCAACAGCACTGACATCTTCCTGGAGCCCATGGAGATTGGCACCTTCCGCCTCCGCTTGGGTTAGGTCAGGACTTCGCGTGGCCTGAAGAGAAAGTTTATCCACAGAGACCACCTCTTAACACCAAATCCGGTTTGACAAGCCACACTAGTGTCACCCTCCGTTCTGCCTCAGAACTGTGACAGTCTGGGCTCTGCCCTTACATTGTCTATTGCTGCTTCTGTGTTTGGGACAACCACATGTCAGTGGTAAGCAGGTGCCAGTGAGACAAGGGAGAGGAGGCTCTCTGGGTTGTGAGTAGGTGCCCAGGTGGGCACAGGCTCAGGCTCCCATCGTTTTCCCAAAATGGGATTTAGGAAGAGTGGAGGGAAACGGAAGAGGTCAAGGACGCTGTGAGGAACAGCCCAGTGCCAGGTGACAGCAGTCATGAGCTAGCTCTAGGCAGGCTATGGTGACATAGGCCCCACATGTCCTGTTATGAGGCACAGGAGCAGGGTGACTCTGGGAGAAGGGACGTAGAGATCCATTATTAGTGGGATAGAGGAGTGAGATGGGTCCCTAGTTCTCCCAAGAGCCTAAAGGCTTTGCTGCTTTCTGTTCTGCCTCTGCCTTTAGTACCTCTGGGCTTGTGTACCCTGGCTAGGTGGCGATAAGGACTAGCTTGAGACTCTAAATCAAGGTCAGAGGCCATAGAACACTTCAGGTACCCACACCCATTCTCCGCTGGTCATTTGGTGATGTGTTGATTTGTGGTAGGGGTGAGAAGTGTCTCCCACCCTCCCTGCTTCTTTATGTCACACACCACTCTCCTCACGAATTCCTGTCACAAGACTCCCGTGCTTGGGCACCTTGTGAAGCATCCCATGCTGGGTCCCGTGGCAGGTGGAGGAGGTTCATCCTTGCTCCATCTACAGAAATGTTGCCTTCCTGGTATGTGGGACAAAGAAGATGGAGACGAAATTAGGAGGCTGTATGCTCTGATGAGCCCTCATTTTACCTTAATTAGTAGAGAATTTGTCTATAAATGATGAAAAGAAAGTTGGTAAAAGTGTAGCTCCATCCCTTATGAAAACTTAGAAAGCCAAGACCAGAAAGAAGCATCATACTAGATAAAGGTCCCTGTCACCAGTAACCTATAGCACCCAAAGAACCAAACAGCAAGGCACTCTCCTGAGAGTCAGAAACTAGCTGGGGCATGCTGATGTTTAACAGGGTTCCGGTATCACTAATCCCTGCAATTCAGCAGATGGAGACAAGGGAACGCCATGATTGCCATTGTTTTTAAACCATAAGCTATATCTAAGAAGCCAGTGCCAACTGAAGACCCAGCAAGGTGTTCTGTGAGTCGCCTGAGTGCTGTCCATGTAAACACCAGTTCTTCCCAAATCAGCCCATAAAATCAATGTAATTCCAGCAAGAGTGGAGACTTCTTGGAATCCTGCCAGTTCTGATATTCATTTAGAAGAGTACAGGATGAGGGTGTGAGGCAGTTCTGAATGACAGTGGTAATATATGGCTGGTGGTCCCAAGGGGGGCAAAAGGCACTTGTCATACAGAGTCCTCAAAGGCTTGGACTCTTCTGCCAGCATGAATTTAGTCATTGTGTTGGTCAGAGAGACAGACCCATGCACACAGACGTTCAGGGACAGGGAGATGGATCGTTTCATAAATAGTTCCTTGAGACAGCTAGCTGTTAGTTGAAACTCTTACCTCAGTTTCCCAAAAATTAGCTCTGGAGGGGAAAGCAAAACAAGAAATTATTCAAAAAATACATATATAAAAATCTCACTCTCACTATGTAGCTCTGGCTGTTCTGGAACTTACTATGTAGACTAAGTCTTTAAATCACAGAGATCCCCACCTGCTTCTGCCTCCCAAATGCTGGGACTAAAGGCGTGTGCCACCACACCCAGCAAAAAAATATATTTTTACATTTGATGTAGGAAGGCTTTTCTATACATAACATGATAGGGGGAAAGACTACAAAGGAAGCGTGTGATAGGAAACAGGTTAAAGTACACTTTGCAGGTGTGTGCCCTGAATGAGGACTGCAGGAGAAAAACCTGCTTTGGCTCCTCTGAGGACATCACCAGGGTCTGCCCAGCTTTCACCCAAAGGTCCTACAGTGACAGGGCTGAGTTCTGGGAGGTCCTTCAGACTACAGCCAGGCTCAGGCCGCATGGATTCCTAGTCATGTTTGGTGAAAGAAATAAGATGATGAGTAGGAACTGCTTAGCGTAGAGCCTGGGCGGTAGACAAGTATGGGCGGAAGTTTCTGTCCTGACCGCCTAAACACACGAGGAAAGAATGTGAAGCCCCTGTTAATAGCAAGTGTTAGGCTGGTGCATGGTCTGTAGTCAAATGATAGTGGAGACTCTGGACCCCTAGGAAATTAGCGGAATAAAGGATATTCATTGGAGGTGTTAGATGTGCACTAAAGTTAATGCCACACAAAAGTGTTTGGGGAGGGCATTCTTGTAATGTGTCCCTGGCTAACCCAGACTTGCCATAGAGAACCACACTGGACTTGAACTTGTCATCTTCCTGCCTCTGCTGCCCACATGCTGGGCTCACAGGTATACACCATATGCATTTAAATATTACTTAGAGCAATATTGTTGGGAATGTCCAGTAGCAGAGTTGCTTCTAGAAAGTGCCGTTTCTGCCCTGTCCTACACAGGGTTGTTTCTTCAGGCTGCGTGCTGCAGTGGCGTACAGGCAGGGTTACATGTAACTGAATCAAGAAACAAAAGCTCACTCTGGGGCACAGAGGGAAAGACAGCTCCTGGTGTAGCCTTTGAAGCAATCTCTGGAATCAGGGCCAAAGAATTTCCTTTGTTTTGTTTTGTTTTTTTGGGGGGATTGTTGTTGTTTTGTTTTGTTTTTGGCTGTTGTTTTCCGAGACAGGTAGCACAAGCTGACCTCCAACTTGTAGAAATCCTCCTGCCTCAATCTCCCAAGTGTGGAATCACAGGTGCATGCCACCATAACCTGACTCAAATTGTTCTCAGCTATGGCCCAGCGCATGCATACTCCTTAAAGGCAAGCAGCCTTGTCCAGAGCTCTGGCACTGAGGCCTCGCTGCCATGAGGATAACAATCTACAGTGGAAGCAGGAGCAACAGAACAACCCCAATCACCAGGAAGGGAAGGACTTCCTCACTGAAACACATCCACCTCCACAAAGAGGACAGGGCAGAGTGGCACAGAGAGAAAGTGTAAGGTGCGTCAGCCTCTCCCTCGTAGGGAGTTCAGGCCCACACAGCGTCGGGATCTGCTTTCCCCAGGGCATGCAGAGAAAGAAGCAGGAACTCTGGACAGCAGCTTCTCTGACTTCAACTGGCCTGGTGGCTACTAAGAAGGCCCTTGTGAAGCTAGGTCCTTACGTTCCAGCTACTCTGGGGGCAGAGGCAGGAGTTGAACAATATTGAGACCCTGTCTCAAACAAACACTAGCTGTCAAACTATCTTCCCGCACTCAAAGAGGAAAAATTATGTAGTGAAGGTGAGACTTGCAGTTCCACTAGAGATCTCTGAAAATTTTTGTTCTTTCCCAACAAAAATATATGTAAAGGGCAAGTCTCAGAGATGACAGGAGAGGCTAGGTCTTTCACCAGACCAGTTCTGTTTAGGCCCAGTGGTGAGTAAAGTCCAAATCATAAGTTGCTAGGAGCGACTGGGTCTGTTCCAGCTCCTGACTTTGGACTCCCTGGTTGATTAGAATAGCCTGCACACAGGAAGCCCAAGGCGGGCTGGTGATGATGACTTCTTAACATGTACAGTATGACACAGTTGAAAATTAGAGGTAATGGCCAGTAAGGAAGTCCCTTGGGGGAAGCAACACTTGGGTTTCTTTGTAAGCATTGCATGCTATAGTTTGAATGTGTGTCCCTCTGTCGTTCAGTGAAATATTGAGAGGTAGGACCTGTGGGAGGTGGTTTAGTTATACAGGATCCTCGCTAGTTTAGGGGGATAATGGCCATTGTAAAAGGAAAGGGGCCAGGCCTTGTGGCGCACGCCTTTAATGCCAGCATTCGGGAGGCAGAGGCGGGCAGATCTCTGTGAGTTCAAGACCAGCCTGGTCTACAGAGTGAGTGCCAGACAGCCAAAGCTAGCTACCAAAGCCACACAGAGAAACCCTGTCTTGAAAAACAAAAACAAACAAACAAACAAAGGGCAAGAGGGAGGCAAATTAGTTCACCTTGGGAAGGAAGAATCTGCTGGACTAGGGAAAAGCTTGCTTCAGACAGAGGTGTTTTTGTCAGCCTGGGTCAAGGAAACCCCAACAAGCCACAGGACAAATGCCTTCAAGCACTTTCTTCATGCAGACTTGCTCTGTAGAACAGCATAAGAAACACCCTGACTCTTTGGGCGACTTAGCTGAGCTCTCAGGAAAAAAAAAAAAAAGGTTTCGGAAAAGTCAACGTTTGAAGGTATAGTCCAAAGTAATGAAGCTCACTGTGTCCTGGAGATGAATTATGTCCCACCCAAAGGTGCTAAGGAAGGCAGAAACCCCCAGTGCTTCTAAAGACCCCATCTGCCTCCTTCCTGAACACCCTGGCTTGTCTATTAGAAACACTGGGGGAGGGGTTGGGGTCAGAACAGTCAAAGATATCCACATGAGCAGCTCAACTAAAGGAGAAGCTCGAGAAGGCACACTGCACCAAAGGCAAACATGAAGCAGGAAGGAGCAGCCTTGGGTGGTCAACCGGCTTGAAGAGCAGTGAACCACTGGCGGGTGAGGAATGACCACTGCCTTCAAGTGTGCGCGCATGTGTTCCCAATTGAAGTGCAGCTCAATATTAGCTTCCGTGTAAAAACTATAGGTCCTTGTATGGCTGATGAAATTGACGACATCGAGTTGTGCAGTGTGTAACCCCAGCAGAGGCAGGAAGAGTGTCAACCTTTGCCCGTCAGCCTAGGCTGCATGAGAGCCTATCCCCCGCCCCTCAAATTAAGAGGCAGGCAAAGCGAGACAGCTCTCTGGGTAAAGGCACAAGCCCGCCAGGCCTGACAAACCATCTCGGACCCACACGAAGGAGGGCGAAACCCGACTTCCCCAAATTGTGGTCTGATTGCCACACCCATAGTGGGACGTCCGAACGCGCGCGCACACACAAACACAAAAATATAACAAAAAAAAATCCTCAGCAGTTTACGGACACCTTCTCTTCCCCTTGCCCTGCAAAAGAGCTGGTGGACCGCTCCCACCGCCCCTCCTCCAGACTCCACCCACCCCCACGGGTGGGGCAACGTCAGGGCAACTTCCGGGCATCCCGGAAGCTCTTGCCGCTTAGCAACCCAGGAAACGATCAATCTTTAAGGGCCAAGGCATAGGCTATGAATTACTGAGCACCCGCTGCAGTTTGTGCACGGGGAAACAGGTCTTCCACGCCTTTTCACGTTACAGGGGTTTCTGTTCTTCCCAGCAGTAAGTGGTGGCTTTCCTTATGTCTGCGGTAGGGGAACTTTCCAGATGTCACCTGACTTCATAACAGCCCAGCTCAGTGATAAGGACGCCATGCTCCAAGGGTTGATGCTCTCAATCAAGGGAGCCGATACAAGGGCCACATAGTTGGAAGCCAGTATCCGGGGCGTGGGTTCTTCACTCAGGAACCCAGAGAAGGAGCAGCGGCAATTTAAACTTTTACCCTAAGTACTTTATTTTCCATGGCTTATAAACCAAAGCTTACACAATCCCAAGTCCCAGAGGGGCCAGAGGTCCCACCATGTAAAACAGTAAACAGACCCAAGACTTGAGGAAGGGCTGTGAGTGCATGGGTATATCTGATTTCCATATTTGGGGCTCCGCTGAGTAAGAAAATGCAGATGTTTTTAGCCTGTAATGTATGCGCCGGGTGGAGAGGCGGGGAGGCTCTGAAATACTACGGTAAGAATCCCATCTTGCTGGAGTCATGCCTCAGGATGCCACCGAACACCGCTCAAAGAGTCAGCCCTCGCTCCTCGAACAGCTGCTTTAGTGCCTCTTCCAGTTGCTGGTTCGTTCCTTGAAGCCCCTTCACCACCTGCGCCGCCCACTCGAAGTACTCCTGGACTCGATGCTCTGACCACCCTGCACGAGAGTGGGCGGAAACCGGCTCGTGGGATGTCGGGCCAGCCTTGGCTTTTGCCTGCTTGCTGCAGAGCTTTTGTACAAGGCGGTAAGATGAGCTGCGATGGGATGGATGACCTGACAACTTCCCCGTGAGCACCAACTTCCCACGTTTGACAGAAGACTGCTCCAGGCTTAGTTGGAGGCATTAAGACCAACCCCACCCCACCCCATCCCCACCCCACCCCCCTTATTTCTGGGAAATTGACCGATATATGTTTTTTAGAAGTTGGACATCCCTCCCCTCCCCTCGGAGCCAGTAGCGGAGCATACCTTGAGGGGTGCAGCGATTCAGGTCCCTCAAGTTGTATAGTTTGTCTGCCAGCTTCACCAGTTTGGCTCCTGGGCTGCTGTGGGGGGGCCTGTTGTACCTGCTGTCGCTTTCTTTCCAGTTTGGGCAGAGTCTTGTCATCTGTTACTTCCTCCACCAAACGCCGAACCTGTGCTCCAAAGTGCAGCTCTACCTCATCCAGGGTAGTGTCCGTGTCTTCTACCGTGTCGTGGAGCAGGGCCGCCTGGGGATAGGCTCCCGTTCAGCCCAGTGGCACTAGCCTACCAGTCAAAGGGCACCCGTTGCTCAACAGTACTCCTAACGCCCACGCCAGCCTCCCGGCAGAGAAGAGTAATGTTACCTGCAACACCGCAATGTCAGTGATTCCCGCCTCATGGGTTAGGATCCGGGCCACACCTGACAGGGGCAAAGCAGATATCAGACTAGGGGGAGCCACAGTGGAGAGCCAGACGCAGCCCCCTCACCAGCTGGCCTCGGAAAGCCCCTCAGCCTCTTGGGATATCGACTGTACTACCGGGACAATCCCGGCTACTGCCCCAGGTGAGGCTTGCACGGCATAACGCATGAAAAGTGATAGACACAAAGCTTGGGACTCAGTAGGCGCTCAATAATTTGTGCACTCTGTGTTCCCGTCCCAGTCAGTCCCCACCCGCCACGCGCCGCGAGAACTGCTTCCCAACCGGCGCGCCCACCGATGGGGTGGTTGATGTAGGGAGTCCCTTCAGGATCTTTCCGTCGCTGCTGTCGGTGCTTCTGAGCGGCGAAGTCAGCAGCCTCCAGCAGCTGAGCTACCTCGGAGCCCATCGCGCGGGGGACTGAAACCCCAGAGTCCGAATAGGTCGTCTACATGTAGCGCCCCCTGGCGCATCGGAGGCTCGGGGAATGGAGTTAATTCCTTTTATTTTATTTATTTATTGGTTTTTCGAGACAGGGTTTCTCTGCGGCTTTGGAGGCTGTCCTGGAACTGGCTCTTGTAGACCAGGATGGCCTCGAACTCAACAGAGATCCGCCTGCCTCTGCCTTCTGAGTGCTGGGATTAAAAAGCGTGCGTCACAAGCTGTAATTCTGTTATTCTCCCCGCCACACGCACCTCTCGTGTTATTCGTGTGTGCGCGTGTGTGTGGCGAGTAGAGGCCATAGGTCTCCACCCAACGTCTCTCCTTGAACCTGTAGCAGCTCAGGTATTTAGCAAGACTAGATAGCCAACTAGTTTCCACGGATTCTCCTGTCCCCGCCTCCCAAGCACAACTTGTGTAGGTTGCCGCCCCAAGCTTTTTACCCGGCTGTTGCCTTAGTTTGAAGAAGGCAAGTCCTTATTTTTGTGCAGCAAGCACTTTACCCACTGAACCATTACCCCAGTCCCGATGGAGGGTTTTCAGAGGCTGAAATCCTGGGCACTGAAAAAGCCTTCAGCTGGGCAGTTGTGGCTCATGACTTTAATCCCAGCACTCAGGAGGCAGAGGGAGGTGGCTCTCTGAGTTTGAGGCAGCTGGCCTATGCAAAGAAAACCTGTTTAAAAGAGAGAGGGGGGTCTGGTGTTGGTAGCGCACGTCTTTAATCCCACTTGGGAGGCAGAGGCAGGTGATCTCTGTGAGTTCCAGGCCAGCCTGGTCTACAGAGTGAGTTCCAGGACAGGCTCCAAAACAATACAGAGAAACCCTGTCTCGAAAAACCAAAGAGAGAGAGAGAGAGAGAGAGAGAGAGAGAGAGAGAGAGAGAGAGGGAGGGAGGGAGGGAGGGAGGGAGGGAGGGAGGGAGGGAGGGAGGGAGGGAGGGAGGGAGGGAGGGAGGGAGGAAATAGCCTTTAATAATCACAGTTGGTGTGGTGTACTCTGCTCCAGGCTCAAGAACATAGTACCCTGGCTCTCTGAGAACTAACAGTCTGGAAGAAAGAAGACAAGAACAAAGGTGATGGCCTCGAGGAGTTCGGAGCTGGAAGGCATAGGTCGCCATGGGACCACAGAGAAAACCCAGTTCTTGTAGCCTGGGAGGCAGAGGCAACTTCTGCCAGGAGCAAAAGGCTGTCCACAGCCTTTCAATGCCCAGAACATAGTTCTCCCCACAGGGACTTTCCTGTTACTGTGGGCATTTGGGCTCTAGGGACACTACAGCTTGACCTTCTGGAGAACTGGATCCTAAACGAGAAGTCCTGTCTAATTGCTTCAGACTTAGGCTCCTGGGAGGCACTACTGTTTCTACAGAAACTGTGTGCATCAATCTCTTGTACATAAGGGAGCCTGTTTCAATCCCCAGGCCCCTGCTGTGGGCCTCTGAGGAGAGGAAGAGACTTGCCCCTGCTGCCTCAGGAGCACAGCGTTGTCTAGCTTGGGTAGGCACTGAAACAACCCTTCATTCTTTACTGGCCAGTGAGCTTTGGATCTTCTGGAGAAATTCCCTGTCTTAATGTTGGGAGCTCTGCAGTATGAAGGGTAAGCGAGACCTGGGAATCTCCCCCAAAGGACTCTGAGAAATGGAGGTAGCCAGCCACAAAGTGTATTCCAGCCAGGCAGGTAGCTTTTGTGTCTGGGCTGGCAGCTGGGGAGAGGGAGCTCAGGGTGAAGTTTAATGACAGCATTCTCAGATAGGCTTGCTGGTTGCCATGTTGCAGCAGTTATGGAGACCTCTGGGGCCTAACACGGGGTGGTCAGAATTCCCGGGGTGTCTGCAGCAGCCTGGAAGTAGGAGAATGGATAGACAGAAACGTATTTGGCTTTACGTGTTCATTTTTTTCAGGACAGTGTCTCAACTTCTCCCTTGCCTGGCTTTCCCAGCCCTCTGAGCCGTTCCTCTCCACTGCGTAGGCAACCGTAGGCAGCTGGAGTCAGAGGCCTCACATTCCCAGCAGATAACAGGAATCCAGTTGCTGTCATCGCTCTAGAAGCCTGGGATGGAGGAGTACCACCCCTGCGGGTCTTGGGACTTTCCTTATTGTCCGTAGTCATGACTTGAGACAAATACTGGATTCCTAGGACTACAACTGAGTGGAGGTGACTTCCCATGGGCCTCCAGAGACGGAGTCCAGGGCCTCTTCTGACCGGCCTGTCTGTAGGGCTGCTACTGCTTTTCAGTCAGACAAACCTTGCCCACCCCACCGACCTCTCAGGTATAACAAACACTCCCCCTATCCTCTGAGGGCGATTTGCTGGGAAAGGTGATGGCGAGGGGTGAGGGAGCGTCCTCCCCTCTTCTGGCAGGACGCCTGGACCCCATCTTGCCCTTTGACCAGGGTGAAGGGGGTGTGGGTAACCTCCCTTCTCTAGAGACTTCTTGCTTCTCTGCAGCACTGGCTCACCATCCCAATTTGTGCCAGACCACACGGGACGCTGAAGGCCGCCACTACCCAGGCTTCTTCTGTCCGCGCCTCTCTGATACTCCTGAAGAAGCCTACTGCTGCCACCTTCAGGCTGCCGGGCGTTCCTGCTGTACCCGGGATGAATTTGAGGCCCTGTACCAAGTAAACTTGTCTTCTCTCCAGCCCCCACCCATCCTCAGGTGAGAACTGTGGTCCCAGACCCACAGGACACTGACAGGGTGCCCCAGTGTCTGGGGCTCTGTCCTTAAACTCTGCAGTGGGAGGCTGGTAGCTTCCAGACTAGTAGAGAGGAGGTCACGTAAATCACGATTACAAACACCTCTGTGAAGGAGTAAAAAGTAACCAAAGCTGCTGTATATTTCGTGGGACTTAAGGGGTTTGTTCGGGTGTCAATAGAGAGGATCTTGAAGTCCATGGGCTACACACATTATGGTAGGGGGTTTAATTTCTGAATCTAGCTGCGTTCGCCTTCAAGGTACTTGCGAGCTCCCAAATTTGCATGCAAATATGTGCATGCCGTCTGTATTTATCCCGTGCTTTCTCCGACTCTCTGGGCTCGGTAACCCCTGGCTTATCGCAGCCAGTGTACGATCTGAATTCTCTCCTCTCTCCTACAGGGGCCCAGGCCCGCTCCTAGCACTGGGCCTCTACAGTCTACTTCTGATGGCACTGATGACAGCAGACTTCGTGCACTTCTGCCGCGGTCGGGGAAGGAGAGAAAGTCTAAACTCCCGCAGCCGCGGCCTTCGCTTTCGGGGCTCTGCTGCGCGCCCCCTACGGGTCCCAGTGGGAACAGACTAGACGCTCCTAAAGCGTCGCTGAGCCTGCGCCCGCGCCTGCGCAATGCAGCCGAGCACCCGCCCTTGCACAAAAGCGACCTCTTCTTGGCCTCGCCTTCTTTGGCGTAACCCTGACGCATTTCTGGGGCGGAGCAGCTCCCGGCATCTTCTCGAGCCCAGAGCCACCTTTGCTCCAGAGAGAGCGCCTGCGCCGGCTCTGGAGCTCAGCTTCGCGATGACTGTGAGTGGTCCAAGGAACCCCTGAGCCCCGACTTTCGGTCCCCGGAGTGCTTACTGGTCCTCCTGTGACATCTCCCCTTCACGCCTGTCCGCCGTCACCTCATTCTCACCCTGCTGGGGACACTCCCCGGACCGAGCTCCTCTCCCTGCTGAGCTGCTCTGCCCACCGCCTTTCTCTCCTTAGGCCAGCTCAGCCGAGCAGCTGCGGAAGGAGGGGAACGAGCTGTTCAAATGCGGAGATTACGAGGGTGCCCTGACCGCCTACACCCAGGCCCTGAGTCTCGGCGCGACGCCCCAGGACCAGGCCATTCTGCACCGAAACCGGGCTGCTTGCCACCTCAAGCTGGTGAGGGAGGGAGGGGTCGGGCTGCTCTAACCTGGTTCGGCACGGGCCTGGGGCTGCCCATAGTGCTGCTGTCTGTGCACAGCTGGGCATTCCCTCACCTCCCACGATTGTCGGGTGTCTTTGGGTATCGGTAATGGGGGAGTCAGCAGAGCACCCATTGCTACGCGATTAGCTTCCCTCAGGCCGCTGATTCTTCTCTTACAGGAAGATTACAATAAAGCAGAGTCAGAGGCGTCGAAAGGTAGGGGGTGTGGGCCCTCATGTGGAGTTGTGGGCCTTCTGTGGTGGGCAAGGACTCTGGGGCTACCAAGCCACCCCTTTCTCCTCCTCTTCGGCCCAGACACTGGACTTTCTACGTGCTTTCCCACGTCTTCGGCCTTTGCTTTTCTGCAGCTGCCTTCACCTTTTCTGAGGCTGAAGCACCGAGCTCCACATTCGTACCCCCACCTTCCTCTGGCCCTCAAGATCTTTCCCTACTGCTCTTGCCTGGAGACGGTGGCCTCATGGGTGCTGACAGAGCTCCTGTTTGTGCCCAGCCATTGAAAAGGACGGTGGGGATGTCAAAGCCCTTTATCGCCGAAGCCAAGCCCTAGAGAAGTTGGGCCGCCTGGACCAGGCTGTCCTTGACTTGAAGAGATGTGTGAGCCTCGAGCCCAAGAACAAAGTTTTCCAGGAGTCCCTGAGGAACATTGGGGGCCAGATTCAGGAGAAGGTATGTGAAAGATGGAGAGAGGTTGGGGATTGCCTGGGTCTGGGTCCAGGGTGTAGACACGGTGCTCCAGGTAGCAAACCGGCATTAATAATGCTCAGCCTGTTGAAGGGAATCAAAACAGAAGCACGGTTGTTTGGTGCAGGTAGGAAAGTGGTGTGTGTGTGTGTGTGTGTGTGTGTGTGTGTGTGTGTGTGTGTGGTGTTTATCAAAATGGTAACATTGGAAGAAAAGAATGGGATTAAGGAGGCTTTCAAAAAATACTTTGACTTCACACACACACACACACACACACACACACACACACACACACACACACACACACAGCATCAAAGGGAGTGTTAGTAGCTACCTGACAACCTTCCTGGTGTCTTGGAAGTAGTGACTGTCAAGTTCAGTGCCATAGTGGCATGCTTATGTTTTCATGCTGCCCTAGCACAGCCGCCACTACTGGGAACGGTTCCTTATGTCTAACAAGATGCCTCCCCTTGTGAAGGCACGTACTTTAGCATCAGCAGGTGGTATTGCCCAAGCAGGAAGAAATTCAGAGAGGAAAACAGCCCCGGGAAGTTTAGGAGGAGACACCCTGGCAAGTCTCTTCCTGCCTACCATGGTTTCTAGCTGTTGGCCTTGAGCTCTGAGCCTCCCAGGGAGGAGAGCCAGGGAGAACTCATAGGAAATATGATATATCTGGCCAAGAAAGGTGATTTATCTTGTGCTTCTTCATAGGTGCGGTACATGTCCTCAACAGATGCCAAAGTAGAACAGATGTTTCAGATACTGTTGGACCCCAAAGAGAAAGGCACAGAGAAGAAGCAGAAGGTACAGGTCCTGGAGTGAGCCTCTAGGGCTCCCATACATACCTTTGCTCACCAGTATGACCTCAAGAGTCCTGCTGACTTTGGGTCCTTAGTGTGAAGCAAGGAAAGGGACCTAGTGTTTACAGAGCACCTTGGTGGCTACCCTAGAGCCAGGAGCTGGCATGCATTGTGGCTGAGGTGCTGTCCTTGTTCCTGAAGCCCTGCTAGGGACCTCACTCTAACCATCACCCACGAGACCAAGCGCTCCTTTCTACTTGAAGAGATGGAAGCCGAAGTTCCAAGGGGTGAAATTTACGGCCTAGAGCTCAGGGCCTCCCTGCCTGCCCTGCCCTTGGATGTCTGTAGTGTCCACATTAGCATGTGCTTCCTCTGGCGTAGGCTTCTCAGAACCTTGTGGTGCTGGCCCGAGAGGATGCAGGTGCTGAGAAGATCTTCCGGAGCAATGGGGTTCAGCTCCTGCAACGCCTGCTGGACACAGGAGAGACTGACCTCATGCTGGCAGCGCTGCGCACGCTGGTCGGCATTTGCTCTGAGCACCAGTCGCGGGTAGGTGGTGGGGAGAGGTCTAGCTAGAGCCGCAGTCTGTCTGTCTGTCCATTTGTCTATTAATTCCATCTACCTATCTGCTCTTCCACTCCTCCATCTTTTTCCCAAAACAGCTTAAAGCACAGATAGGAGCTACACAACTATGGGAAAAAATTAAAAAGGACAGAAGGGACACACACAAATTAGGGTGAGGACCAGAAAGGACAAATGTAGCCTCTTATACCTTGAGCATTACCATCCGAAAGCCCGTTCACAGAGACACCTGGTCTCTGCCCACTCAGGGCTGCCCAGAAAGAGGTTTTGTCTGTTCCAAAGCATCTCTGCCTTGGAGATGGTGACCTGGTTAGCAGCATGGACGGTGATGTCCTACATGAACAGTACAACAAGAATGGCCCTACTCCTGGGCCTGGAAGTCCACGCCCCCTGCTCTTGCCTGTGCTGGCTGGACCCAGGAGATAGGGACTTGGTCTCTGGTTGATCAGGCTGTTTTTTATGTGTTCCTTTGGAGTCAGGGTCTTCTTCTGTGGTCTGGGCTGCCTTGAACTCATGGTCCCTCGGGGATTTCAGCATGTGCTGCCATGCTGGACTCCTTGATTGCTTCCCAGAGGACTCTCCAGTTCCAAGAAGGGTAGGTTGTGAAGTATTCAGTGAAATCTCTTGAGGCCAAGTCTGGGCTACATTTAGAAGAGTCAAACCATGTGTACCCTGGGGCAGCCTTCAGCTCCCCCAGGTCTGTATGAGCTGGAATGAGCCCATCAGGCCTGCCAGGTTCTCTAGCTTAGAAGAAAGACGGAGAGGCCTTGCAGGTCTGCCCCAGGTGTACTCACACGTCAGGTGTGTACAGACCCTACTGCTGGGTTTGGAAGGTGCCGGCATCTGGCATGATGCTTTGTTCCGGTGTGCTGCTCCTGAGAAGCAGACCAAATAGCTCTCCTGGGGCTTGTCTTCTCTCCAACTCCAGAGAACAGAGGTGGATGGGGACTCTGGAGTGCCTCCTCCTCCTCCCCCCCTCCTTCCCCTCCCCCTCCTCTCCCCCTCCCCCCCCCTTCCCCTCCTCCTCCTCATTTTCAGGCACTGTCTCTATATGTAGCCGTGACTGTCCTGGAGCTGGCTGCTATCCTGTCTGTCTGGGACTGCCTGTGTACGCCACTACTACCAAATGGGATGCTTTCTTCATACCCTTTCTTTTTTTTTTTTTTTTTTTTTTTTTTGGTTTTACGAGACAGGGTTTCTCTGTATTGTTTCGGAGGCTATCGGTCCAGCCCGGCCTCGAACTCACAGAGATCCGCCTGCCTCTGCCTCCCGAGTGCTGGGATTAAAGGCGTGCGCCACCACCGCCCGGCTTCTTCATACCCTTTCTAACAGGAAGCACGGCCTGGCCCAGCTCACACTATAGACTACTTTCCTTTTCACTTGGAGCTGCCCCATCCACCCAGGTGTTTGCTCACTTTCTGGCCACACTGACTAGCTCACTGTTAGGAATCACGTGGCTGCCCTTTACCAACCAAGCCTCTGTCCACCTCTTTCCCACTCTAGACAGTGGCAACCCTGAGTGTCCTGGGGACTCGGAGAGTAGTCTCCATCCTGGGTGTGGAGAACCAGGCCGTGTCACTGGCAGCCTGCCACCTGCTACAGGTTATGTTTGATGCCCTCAAGGAAGGCGTCAAGAAAGGCTTCCGAGGCAAAGAAGGCGCCATTATTGTGGGTGAGTGGAAGCCAGCCTGGTCCCTTGGATGGTACTGTTGTGGAGGGGATGGATGGAATGTGGCTTAGTGGTGATATGTTTACCCTAGATTCTTTTGTTTCGCTGAGACAAAGCCTCACTGTGGAACTGAGCTCTTAAAACTCTTGCCATAGTCTCCCAAGGGCTATTAGAGGTTTGTGTCTCCATGCCCAGCTTTTCCTTTGGATTCTAGTAGCCAAGTGCTTGAGGAGAAAGCTGGGCTCAGCTCAGAACCCAGGAGGGAAGCCTCCTTTGCCTCTCTGGCTGTTGAGTTCAGCAGTCACACAGGGCGGCGTCACTGTAGAGTTCGCTAATACAACGTTTTCCATTGTGCTGCTGTGTCTGTTGTGTAAACACAGATGGCATAGCCATTGATCAGTAGTGTATATTGTTGGCAGATCCTGCCCGCGAGCTGAAGGTCCTCATCAGTAACCTCTTGGAGCTACTGACGGAGGTGGGAGTCTCCGGCCAAGGCCGTGACAATGCCCTGACCCTCCTAATTAAAATGGTACCCCGGAAATCTCCGAAGGACCCCAACAACAGCCTCACACTCTGGGTCATTGATCAAGGTAGGTGATAGTGTAGAGAAACTTACTTGGGTGGCTGAGGCCTGCCTTTCTGTGGGAGTGATGAGAAAAGTAGCAATTGTATACGGCGATATGTTTGTTCTGAACTGCCCTCCTGTGGCCCCTATAATCCCTGCAGGGAGCATGAAGACCCTCCAGCTGTGTGTGTGTCGTGTGTGTCTGTACAAATGCGTGTATATCGGACAGTCCTGTAGAAGGCAATTGAAAGGCAGTGTCTCTTTCTCCAGTTGAAATTTTTTGTAAATCACATTATTTACTAAACTTTTAAGACATTTTTATTTATTAAGCCCCCCCCCACCCATGTGTATGTGTTCAAACACCATGACACTGGTAGGAGTCAGGATAACATGCAGAGGTTGGTTTTTGCCTTCTACTCTGTGGGTCCTTGGGATCTAACTCAGGTCATCAGAGTTGGTGGCAAGCACCTTTACCTGCTGAGACATTTCATTGGCCTGTTTGAAGTTTTTCTCGGTGACTGTGTATTACTAGTACTCTTGGAAAAAAGACAAATCAAATCATAACGTGGCAATTTCCACTTCTCATTTTCCAAAACGATCAACAAGAGGGGCTTGCCAAGGCCCTGCCTGACAGTCCTCCGCAGGGACCCTTGAGTCTGCTTCTGTTCCCCGTGGCTTCACCACTGCCATGGCACTGTTTGAACTCTGTGACCTTTCTGACCCACAGGGGTGGTGGCCTTGCTTTTCTCTGCATCTCCAAGACTGTCTCTAGCTTTAGGGCTTGGTAGCAGTGCTCCACTGTCTAAATGGGGTATCTTTGCAGGTCTGAGAAAGATTCTGGAGGTGGGGGGCTCCCTGCAGGATGCTGCTGGGGGGCTCACAGTGACGCCCAACAGCCGCATGAGTGCCTCCATCCTCCTCAGCAAGCTGTTTGACGACCTCAAGTGTGATGCAGAGAGGGAAAACTTCCACCGCCTCTGTGAGAACTACATCAGGTGAGGCCGTCTGCCTCTCTGCACCGCAGGGCTGCCAGCAAAAAAGCAACTGGCTTTCAGCATGGAGGGCAACCTTGAGGGGGTCTAGCAAACTAAAGTGATCCCCAGAACCTCTACCCCATGTTTCGGTTGCTTTTCTATTGTGGTGAAGAGACACCATGACCAAGGTACCTCTTAGAGTTAATGAGGGCTTAGCATTTCAGGGGGTGAGTAGATTTCATACCCATCATGACAGGGAGCAATGCAGCCGGCAGGTAGGCATGGTACTGAAGCAATAATGGAGAGCTTACATGTTGAAGCAGCCACAAGGCAGAGGGGCAGGGAAGGGAGGGAAGGAACTAACTTGGAATGATGTAGACTTTGGAAACCTCAAAGCTCACCCACAGTGACACCTTCTCCAACAAGGCCACACCTCCTAATCCTTCCCAAACAGTTCCACTAGCTGCAGACCAAACATTCAAATATATGAACTTATGGGGGCCATTCTCATTCAAACGACCACAACCTATTGCTTTTTGTTTTGTTTGTTTGTTTTTCAAGGCAAGATTTCTCTCTGTAGCCCTCACTGTTCCAGAACTAGCTCTGTAGAGCAGGTTGGTCTCAAACTCACAGAGATCCACCTGCCTCTGCCTCCGGAGTTCTGGGACTAAAGTTGTGCACCGCCATGCCTAGCAACGCCCTATTGTTTTGAGATGGGAATATTGCTGTGTAGCCTAGGCTGGCCTAGAACTCCTGGGCTCCAGAGTAGCCAGGACATGTAGTTAGCTGCATGTCACTGTGCCTGGCCCAAAACCTCTTCCTTATTCCAAAGTGGTTGTACCCTAACTTTTTCAATACTGCAGCAAATGTGTCACACACAACAAATAGATTTCTTTTCCAACGCATGAACTAAACATGACAGTCCACCCTTGAGGAGCTAACAGCTGAGGAGAAGTAACAATAATAACCTTTAGTAGGTGACCTCAGATCTTAAGCAGCGCAGGAAAGGAATGGGGCAGGGCAATGTGTACAGAACAACCTATGTTTAGTGGGGTGCCACCAGCTTCAGGGTGGTTAATTAAAATTGGTGATTGTTGTTGTGAAATGGCCTTTTCCCCTTGGTAGTTTTTCTTGCTGTTTCTAGCCAAGTTGAGCCAAGTGCCCACCCAGTACGGATAGGGGAGCTGGGAAGCAAAGGCCCCTTCTGTGTGCTTCGGCATGACAGCTGTCACTCTGCCCCTCAGGAGCTGGTTTGAGGGCCAAGGGCTGGCCGGCAAGCTGCGAGCCATCCAGACAGTGTCCTGCCTTCTGCAGGGCCCGTGTGATGCTGGCAACCGGGCCTTGGAGCTGAGCGGTGTCATGGAGAGTGTGATCGCTCTGTGTGCCTCTGAGCAGGAGGAAGAGCAATTGGTGGCAGTGGAGGCCCTGATCCACGCAGCCGGCAAAGCCAAGCGGGCCTCGTTCATTACTGCCAACGGCGTCTCCCTGCTCAAGGACCTGTACAAGTGCAGCGAGAGGGACAGCATCCGCATCAGAGCGCTAGTGGTGAGATGGAGGCCTGGGTGTGCAATCAGCAAGGGGACCGGTCAGCTGGTGCGTCCTGGGGTCGCCTCAGCACTGTAGGTGAAAGAATACACAGGACCTCGCCAGGGCTACAGGAGTGGGTCTGGCTCCGGCCACTGAAGGGCTTATGTTCAAGTGGGGAGATGATCCAGGTACAGGGATGTCTAGGGCTGCAGGGTGCCTCATACTGTCCCATTGTTGGTTAGAAAGGCCTATGGAAAAGCAGAACTGCACGTTTGGGGCCTCTCCAGGCATCCATGAGCTGCTGTAGCCCGCATTGTTGGGGCTGGTTCTGGCCTGGTTTACCTTCTATTGCTGTGATAAACAACTGGAGAGGAAAGTCTTTATTTCATGTTACAGCTTAGATCAGAGGGGGAGGGCAGGGCAGGAACTCCAGGCAGAAGCAGGAACTGAAGCAGGTACTGAGGACTGCTATTTCCGGGCGTGCTCCTCGTGGCTCCCTCAGCTTGCTTTCTGACACGCCTCAGAACCACCTGCCCAGAGCTGGCATCGCTCCAGCTGCCGGCCTTTCTACTGGCTCATCTGATGGAGGCAGCCTCTCAGCTGAGGTTCCTTCCCCGATGACTCCAGCTAGCCCAGGAAGTTTGTCCTGGGTTTCTCTGTCTTCTAAGAACTTAAGTCATGGCTACATCCTTGTGCAGGGCCTTTTCTTTTTCTTTTGAGCCAGAGTCTCATGCAGCCCAGGCTGGCCTTTTAGAGCTGAGGCTGGTCTTAAACTTTCATTTATTTATTTAATTAAAAAAATTTATTACGTATACAGTGTTTTGTATGCATGTACCTCTACAGGCCAGAAGAGGGCACCAGATCTCATTACAGATGGTTGTGAGCCATCATGTGGTTGCTGGGAATTGAACTCAGGTCCTCTGGAAGACCAGCCAGTACTCTTAGCCACTGAGCCATCACTCCAGCCCCCTTTTCGTTTTTTTGTTTTTTTTTTTTCGAGACAGGGTTTCTCTGTATTGTTTTAGAGGCTGTCCTGGAACGCTCTATAGACCAGCCTGGTCTCGAACTCACAGAGATCCACCTCCCAAGTGCTGGGATTAAAGGCATGCACCACCACGCCCATCTTTTTTTTTTTTTTTTTTCTTTGAAGACAGGGTTTCTCTGTGTAACAGTGCTGGGTGTCCTGGAACTCCCTTTGTAGACCAGGCTGGCCTCGAACTGACTGAGATCCACCTGCCTCTGCTGGAATTAAAGGCATGAGCCACCACCGCCCAGCTACAAAGGGCTTTTTTTGTAAAACATGAAAGGGACAGAAGGACAGAACAGTTCTCAGTATAGAATTGGAATGGTGTAGAAAGGTCTCAGTATACTAGGTAGCCAACGTGTCAGTTTCTACCAGGCTCTGTGTCCCGTGGCCACCTCATTATGTGATTGTCACCTGCCTTTCCTGTGCTGCCTCTGGAGAGCTTGTTGATTAATTGATGTTTGTGGTCCTCCAAGGGCCATGACAGAGGGCCCAGGAGGGATCCTAAGCCAGGGAAGAACCAGGCTGTTATCTCCATCCTAGTACCAAGCAATTGGTCTTGTCCTCTTCCTCCAGGGACTCTGTAAGCTTGGATCAGCTGGAGGGACTGACTTTAGCATGAAGCAGTTTGCTGAAGGCTCTACTCTCAAACTGGCCAAGCAGTGCCGAAAGTGAGTATCTCTTCTCTTACAGGACAGATCTTAAGAGAGAGTGTGCAGTTGGAAAGGTGCTCACTGGGTACAGGCGTGAGGGCCTCAGACACCATCTTAAGAAGCTGGGTGTGGGGGGCTGGAGAGATGGCTCAGAGGTTAAGAGCACTGGCTGCTCTTCCAGAGGACCTGAGTTCAATTCCCAGCAACTACATGGTGGCTCACAACCATCTGTAATGACATCTGGTGCCCTCTTCTGGTGTGTAGCATACATGCAGATAGAACACTGTATACATAAATGAATAATCTTAAAAAAAAAAAAGAAGCAAAAACAGAGAAGCTGGCCATCAAAGCCCTTGCAGCTCCTTTGCTGTGGGGGCAGAGATGGAAGGATCACTGTGGCTTCCCTCAGTGAGGCCCTGTTCCAAGGGAGTAAGACAGAGAGTGACAGAGCAGGACACCTGACATCGTCATCTGGCAGAGATGTGTGCACACAGACATACACACACAGAGACACACACACACACACAGACACACACAGAGACTCACACACACACACGTGCACACACACACAGAGACTCACACACAGACATACACACACAGAGACACACACACAGAGACTCACACACACACAGACACACACACAGCTTTAAAAGGGGCATGGTTGTGGAGCTTCCTTGTTTCCTGCTGTCACTCGCAGGCGAGGCTGCTTTCCCTTAGGCAAACATTCCTAGATCCTATTTTAAGTCCCTGTGTCACAGGGTGACCTGAGCCTCCTCCTTGTCCAGGTTACTCCTTCCTGATTCCACTTCTGTTAGCTGTTGCTGGATTTTTTTTCCAGATAGGGTCTCACTAAGGCCAAGCTGTCCTAGAACTTGTGACCCTCCTGTCTCTGCCTCCTGTGTGCTGAGATTACAGGCATGCACCACCATGTCTGACTCCTTCCCACCTCTGATGGCCTCCACTGTCATACTTGTCCCTAGGTGGCTATGCAATGACCAGATTGATGCGGGCACTCGTCGCTGGGCCGTGGAAGGCCTGGCTTACCTCACCTTTGATGCCGATGTAAAGGAAGAGTTTGTGGAGGATGAGGCCGCCCTGAAGGCCCTGTTCCAGCTCAGCAGGGTAGCTCCGCGGGTCCCTGCTGTCAGCCTAGGGCCAGGGTCTAGGATGAGAGCTTACTGGGCTTTGGCAGGTCTCACCAGTGTCCCTTGTGGTGCTGGGGATGCAGAGCTAGCTAGCTGCTTTGTGTGACCATGGTGGCTGCAGTGTCTGGAAGCACAGTTGCCCTGGAGGAGTTAAGAGCTGGGATTGTGAGCTCTGAGTCTGGGGTTGGGGCAGGTTCCCAGTGTCACCCTTGGATCCAGGCAGGGTTGTGGGGGTGGGAGGGAGGCTCTGCCCAGCTGCACCCCGCGGCGCTGCCCTGCTGAATGCCCCTCTATCCTGGCCAGTCCGAAGAGAGGTCAGTGCTCTTTGCAGTAGCCTCGGCGCTGGTCAACTGCACCAACAGCTACGACTATGAGGAGCCTGATCCCAAGATGGTGGAGCTCGCCAAGTATGCCAAGCAGCACGTTCCTGAGCAGCATCCTAAGGTACGGGGGCACCAGGAAGGCCGAGGGCCTGCTACTGGCAGCCCTTGAGCCGTGGGATTAGTCCTCCACAGAAAGCTTTCCTTTGAGCTGGCAGTTCCAAGCTTTCTCGGTGTTCACCAGTCTGCTGTGAGGAGAGTCCACAATTCCCTATCCAGTCGGTTCGGGACCCCTCCTAAACTGCCTCCTTTTGCAGGACAAACCAAGCTTTGTGCGGGCTCGTGTGAAGAAGCTGCTGGCAGCGGGTGTGGTGTCAGCCATGACGTGTATGGTGAAGACGGAGAGTCCCGTGCTGACAAACTCCTGTAGGGAGCTGCTTTCCAGGTAAGCCAGCCTGCCATGCTAACTAACTCCTGTGTCAGCCTGCAGCATGCCTGTAGGAGTGGGGCCTGTGGGAGTCATGGAGGGCTTGGGGGGTCTCCCTTCACTTTGCTGGAGAATGGAATGCCTGCCTGCCAGAGCCTTGACCCCACCCACCCACCATGCCTTCTTCCTGCAGGGTCTTCCTGGCCTTGGTGGAAGAGGTGGAGGATCGAGGTACCGTGGTTGCCCAGGGAGGGGGCAAGGTAAGCTGGTGTCTGAGTCCTTCCTGCTGCTGAGCCATCCACCTCTACAACATGACTAAGTGGCTGCTAGCCTTGGGGCCACTATCAGTGACCAGCAGGAGCTTCTGCCAGGGACGTGATGCTGATGTGGGCAGGCTCTTCTGAGGCCCATGAAGATCCCGAGTTTGCCTCCTGCTCCCTCTGTGGCCCCAGGGCCCAGCACAGCCCATGTTTAGCACTTAATAGGTGGTTGGGGAAGTATTTGGATAGTTTTAATGAGAGACCTCAAAGTAGGAAGTGTGTGAGTCATGAGTATTCTCAGGTTCAAGGAGAGTTGGTTCAGTCGGGGTCGATGGCTTGGACCTTGTACTCGCAGGCCCAGGCTGGGCACTGACAGGGCTGGGGCTGTTCTGACAGGCTCTGCTCCCGCTGGCCCTGGAAGGCACTGATGTTGGGCAGACAAAGGCAGCCCAGGCTCTTGCCAAACTTACCATCACCTCTAACCCGGAGATGACCTTTCCTGGTGAGCGGGTATGTGTCTCCCTTTTCCAACCATGACCTCTCCCTGTTTGCTCATTATACCCTGATGGCCCTCTGGCTTCCCCTCATGATCAATGGGAAGGTGGCAGTGTTGCTGAGTCCTGGGCTGGGCACAGCCATAGAGAGCACCGCTGTCTCAGGTGGGCTCCTGCTGTGGGTCTGTGGGGGGGCACTGTGGTGAGCGCTCTGATAGGTGGGGTGTATCGCAGATCTACGAAGTGGTCCGGCCCCTCGTCTCCCTGTTACACCTCAACTGCTCAGGACTGCAGAACTTTGAGGCGCTCATGGCCCTGACGAACCTAGCAGGGATCAGTGAGAGGCTCAGGTAAGTCCCACGGGAGCTTGCACAGGGGTTTGGGTGAGACCCAGTTGTGCACTCTACAGTTTGGAAAACAGTTCCTGGCCCCGTTTGTGCCCCTCAATGGCCCCCCCTGTAACATACAGATGAAGAGTCATGCCAAGGGAGGCGCCAAGGGAGGCCCAGTGTGAGAGCTGCAGGCTCTGAAGTCAGGTTGCCTGGGGTTCAAATGTGGCTCCCTAGACCCAGCCGATACTGAAGTCCAAGCAGTTAGGCTCTGGGACCCTGACTGTGCCCTCCACTCCCCCCCCCCCAAGGCTGCTGCTCACTGTGGAGAGTTCATGAGAAAATGCATATAAAAGGCTTTAGCACGCACTAGTGGGTGTGATGGCTCATACCAAGGGAGGCCAAGGGAGGAAGACTGCTGTGAGTTCTAGGCCAGGCTAGGCTATAAACTGTCTCAAAAGCCCCCCCTCCCAGAAGCCCTTAGTTCATAGGTATCTGCCCTAGCAGTAATCACAGCCAACAGGGTTAGCTGCTGTTACTAACTGTGACCTTAAACACATTACTCACCTCCCAGCTCAGTTTCCCCTTTGGCGGGATAGTTATGGTAACCACAGCTACACTTTCACCACGGAATGCGGTGAGCATCAAGTTAGGCAATTCAAGCATCATGGGCTATAATGAGTGTTAGGTGAAGTAATTCCAGCAGCTTGGTCAGGCTCAGTGCTCTAATGATTGATGTTTGTACAGCCATCGCCGCCTGCTCTGCTAATTCCCAGCATGCCTAACACCCATATGCTGTTTCCAGCCAGGCCAGAAGGCAGAGAGCAAGCACTGCAGCTCATAACTGGGGCAGGAAGGACCTTGGGCATTGCTAGGGGAACACCTCAGCTCAGGGCTCAGCTACATGGGGATAGGGCTGTGGCTATGGGGGCTCTGGCTATGCAGACCCTCCAACTCTGTTCTGCAGACAGAAGATCCTGAAGGAGAAGGCTGTGCCCATGATTGAGGGCTACATGTTCGAGGAGCATGAAATGATTCGCCGGGCAGCCACAGAGTGCATGTGTAACTTGGCCATAAGCAAAGAGGTGAGGGTCGGTCTACGTGGTCCCCATGACACGGACGAGAAGGGCCTTGTACTTTTACTGGGCCCTGTGCCCCGGTGGCATGGTCCTTTCCTCCATCCGGTCACAGGTGCAGGATCTCTTTGAAGCCCCGGGCAACGACCGGCTGAAGCTGCTGGTGCTGTACAGCGGCGAGGACGATGAGCTCCTGCGGAGGGCTGCTGCTGGCGGCCTGGCTATGCTCACCTCCATGCGGCCCTCGCTCTGCAGCCGCATCCCGCAAGTGGTCAGTGCCTGTTGTTAGCAGGGGAGGGTAAGGGGACTAGCGGCCCCCTGCACGGTGGTGCTGCTGTTCTGTCGGGGAGGCCCCGGGTAGAGGAGCGTTTTCCACCAGGGTTGAACCTGTTGCTGGGTCTTCACGCCTGCCTTTTCCTACAGACCACACACTGGCTGGAGATCTTACAGGCCCTGCTTCTCAGCCCCAACCAAGAGCTCCAACATCGAGGTGCTGTGGTGGTGCTGAACATGGTGGAGGCCTCAAAGGAGATCGCCAGCACCCTGATGGAGAGTGAGGTGCTGGAGATTCTGTCGGTGTTGGCGAAGGGTGAGGAGAGCCCAGTCACCAGGGCTGCTGCAGCCTGCCTGGGGAAAGCAGTGGAATACGGCCTCATCCAACCCAACCAGAATGGGGAGTGAGCAGTGTGCCCCCCCGCCCCCCCCTCCCGCCGCAGCACTGAGAGTCAGCACAGAAGCAGCTTTGGCCAACAGGGCTGGGATGCCGGGCGCCTGCCTGTCTTCCACAGCCACACTTTGGTGTTGTCTGTTTTGGGAGATCACACGCCACACAGCCCTGCTCTGCCAGCACCCAGGAGGGCCCTGTGTCTGTAGTGAGCTGGGAACGGACACAGTGCACCACAACTCACACCTGTGGGTTATGGGCGTCGAGAAGGGCACAGCACCCTCACCAGCTGTGGGCACCAGCAGAGCCTGCCAGCAGCCTCATCCTCTAATAAATCGTGTGGGACTGGAGCGTGTTGGTTGTGTAGGAAGGGTGCGGAGGGTGGGAGGCTCTGGAGCAGTAGCTGGGCATTAGCAAGTGCGCTGCAGAGGGCTGTCCTGCAAGAAGGGGCCAGTGGGTTCCCTCCCCGGGGCCCACTGAGTACCCCTATGGCTGAGACTGGGCCTCAGTATGGGGAGCACGAGCTGGCTTCACACTGACAATCCTCCTGTCTCAGCCTTTAGAGTAGTAGGGATTACAAAGAGTGTCACCATACCCGGCTGGAGTCCTTTCCTTAGTCCTGGTAGAAGGGGCACTGGTCAAATTCCAGTGTCCTTGAGATAAACGGCTTTAGGGAGAGTACTATACGCTGGTCCCTGGATACATTTGTCGTGATACTGAGTTTTCCGTGATCTCCAGTCAGGTAATGTGGCATTTGGGGTTGGTGTACGCTTCCCTCAGGGAAAATCAATGTTTCTGTAGCTGTGCCTGGTTGAAGAAGAGGCGTGGCGTAAATGTTGAAACAGGCTCACCTAGCTGGGGACACTCGGTCTCTTAGAGGCTGGAGTTCAAGCTTGAAGCTCATTGGCTCAGGAGATGTAAGTGACAGAGCCTGGGCCAATCAGTGAAGGCACTGATACCACCGCTTCCTGTCGGGGCTACCCTGAGCTTCCTCTACGGAACCGCCTCTCTCCTTGCTCGCAGGGAGTGGCGGGTGTCAGGGCTTGGTCCTCGCCTGCCGTTTCCTTCGGATCTTCATGAATATGCCTTCAGCGGTTCCGGCGCTCACGGGAGGGAGCGGCCCGCATTGACTCGGCGGAGGAGGACTCAGGCCGCTAGACAGGTAATTCGGCGCCTGTGAGCGCGTCACGGCGCCCGCCCATAAGCCGTGACGTCACCACTCGCGCCTGCGATTGGCTCCGAGAAGGCTGCTGCGTCCAATGGCGGCCTTGCCTGGCACGCGGCCCTTGAAGCACGTTCTGCCCACGCAGCCCATCCCGGGGCCGAGCACTACAACGTGCGGGCCGGTTTTCTTCGAGATTTCCCGCGGAAAGGGCCTTTCTGTTGGGTTGTGGAGACAGGGGCAAGGGTAACGTCGAAGGCTCTCTTGGTTGGGGATCCAAGCAAGAGCTGTGGTCTCAGAGCTGGTTTAAGAGACGTGAAAGTGGGTGTAACGTTTTGGTCCAGTCGAATAAAGTGGCGTTGCTGTTGAAACCATTCGACTGTCTGCCTCCCGAAACAGCGTGAGTTCCCTGGGGCCCCCAGCCACCTTATTAAGCCTAAAGAAAGGCGCGATAAAGTCTTGTTGAAAGAATAAACGACCGAGTAACGGTCAGTGCAAGCTGTCCAGATGCCTCCAAAACTCGCTAAGAGCCAATGGTCATTTTTTAAAAATATTTATTTATTTATTGTGTATACAGTCTTCTGCCTGCATGCCAGTGGAGGGCACCAGATCTCATTCAAGGTGGTTGTGAGCCACCATGTGGTTGCTGGGAATTGAACTCAGGACCTCTGGAAGAACAGTCACCCGCCAATGGTCATTTTCATCATTAAGTACTGTTGTATTTAGTAAGCTAAGAGTGTGTTGTCACTTAAACCTTTAATCCTAGTACTCGGGAGGCAGAGGCAGGCGGATCTCTGTGAGTTTGAGACCACCTTGGTCTGCAGAGCGGGTTCCAGGACAGTCTCCAAAACAATACAGAGAAACCCTGTCTCGGAACCCCCCCAAAATTTTTTTGATTTGCTATTATCGCAAACAATTCTGCGAAGTAGATGCAAACAAGAAGGCTTCCACCCTCCACTCCTTTTTCTTCTTCCGAGACAGGGTTTTTCTGTGTAACAGCTCTGGCTGTCCCGAAACTCACGGTAGTGTTTGATAGAAAAGAAAAAAAAAAAAAAACACAAAACGAATACTTAATATTCCTCACAGTGGCACACCGGATTTGAGCCAAAAGTGGGAGGCGTGACTAGCTGCAGACAATTCAACAGTCACACCTTTGATAGGACCTTTGACCAAAGCTCTGCTGCAGGAACAATAGTGAGGTGGACACCGATCGCCTGTGCGGTTAGAGGGATGGAATCCAGATGGGATTCGGTCGCTATTTTACAGATAATGCCGCGGCAGCCCCTTGGGAAGCCAGACTTGCCTGTGTTCCCGAGGTGACCTGGCTGCAAGCATCTACCAGGGTTGAGGCCTTAACCTTCCATCCTGTAGCTGGCGCCCCAGCCAGGTGACCACCCACGGAGGGCTGGGCGTGAATATGGCCACCGGACAGCGTGGGACCTGGTTTGGCTTCGGTTTCTGTGGCTTTGGGCAGGTGCCGGGCTCAGGGAGTGGGCGCCATTCGGTGCACAGTCCTGAACCACTGTGTACCAGTGATGGCATTTGCCGAGTGAGTGCAAGCTGGAGCTACACCGCCGTGGTAACCTGTGAGTACCCCGTGTAAGCATTCAGGCATCGTGCCGGCCTGCCCTGCCACCTGGCAGATTGCACTCAGGCAGTACCCTGGTCAGCCCAGATGCAAAGGAACCCTTTAAAAGAAAGACCTCTGCCCGCTGATGCTCTATTTCCCCTCTTTTCTCTCTCCCGCTGTTCCCCTGGGCACACAGGACTTTTCCTGTCTCCCTCTTCTGTCCGTTCTCTCTCCTCCCCTCCCACCGCGTGCATGTTTGTCCCTCGCCTGCCATGGAATCCACGCAGGGTTCCCCACACTCACCATAACACCCTGACAACCCCATCTCCGGGCCTGGCCCCTGTTCACCAGCCCAACCTTTCTTAACACGCCTGCCCAGGAATACCTGCGCCCGCCCGTTCTCTGGCACGCCCTCCACCCGGGTCCTCTCTGCTATGTAGGTGGAGGCCGAGTGGAGCTCTCAGGTTCTGTCAACAGCTCAGCAAGTGGCTGCAGGGACGCGTGGGCTTCAGAGGGACTCCTGGTGCTGCTGCATGACAAGGGCGGGTCCAGCACAGAGCTGCAGGCCTGGACCCCAGACTCGGCACTTCAGGGGGAGCCCCTCTGGGTCCAGAACCTGGTTCCTGGGGCAGAGGACCAAGGAGAAAATGACCCCAGCAGTGAGGCTATGGCGGGCACCCTGCCGCTGCTGCCCAGTGCCAGGGCCTATGTGAACCCGCAGCTACCCTTCTGCCAACCTCTGGCCCCAGAGCTTCGGGTGCGCCAGCTGCAGCTGGGTGCAGAGCACGTGTTGCTGCTTTGTGAAGCTGGCCAGGTGTTCTCGTGGGGTGGAGGCAGGTGAGGACTATCTGGGTGTGACTGGTGAAGCTCGAAGAGGTGGTGGTCTCTTGAGTGCCCGTAGCTGAGTCAGGGCTCCCTTGACCAGGCACGGACAGTTGGGCCACGGGACTCTGGAGGCCGAGCTGGAGCCAAGGCTGTTGGAAGCCCTGCAAGGCCTGCGGATGGCCGAGGTGGCTGCCGGTGGCTGGCACTCTGTGTGCCTGAGTGGTGAGTGACCGGGGCCTCTCCAAGCAAGCTGATGTCGGGTGCTCCCTCCTCTTGTTCTGCGTTTGTTTTGTTGGTGGGTTTTTGTGGGTGGTCTAGTCCAGTCATTCCTGACTCTTCGGGGTCTGCAGATTCTCTTATGCCTTGGCTGCTGCAGTTGCTGTCTTGGTTACCGGCTCTCCGCCACCCCCATTCATCTGCTAGGCACCACGGCTGCCTTCTCAAATACTCCAGAAGGGAAACTCACTTATCTAGGGATCTGTTAAGAGACAGCTCAGCCAGAAAGAATGGAGAAGGCTGCATATGCCCAGGTAGCCATGATGGCATGATGCTGTGTTGGTCCCCTATGGTGGTGCTGCTGTTTCCTAGGCTCTTGGGTGTGGAGAGTGAATGGATAAACTGTTATCTAAAAAGATGGGTGGAGGGGGCTGGAGAGATGGCTCAGAGGTTAAGAACACTGACTGCTCCTCCAGAGGTTCTGAGTTCAATTCCCAGCAACCACATGGCGGCTCACGACTGTAATGAGATCTGGTGTCCTCTTCTGGTGTACAGGCACACATGCAGGCAAAACACTGTGTACATAATAAATAAATACATCTTTTTAAAAAATGGGTTAAGTGTCTGTGTAGGTGTCCAGAGAGGCCAAAAGGCAGCACTGGGTCCCCTAGAGCTGGAGTTACAGGCAGCTATGCACTGCTATGTTCAAGCCGAGAGTTCCAGAACAGTCAGGGCTACACAGAGAAACCCTGACTTAACCCCACCCCCACCCTCGCCAAGAAAAAAAGAAAGAAAAGTATACAGGATTCCTCTGTGCCTTTAAAAGGGATACAGTGGGGGAAGTTCTAGGGATACCCTAGTTGGGGAAGTAGGTGACAGGTTTGTGGGTTTTGTTTTTGTTTTTTGAGACAGGGTTTCTCTGTATTGTTTTGGAGGCTGTCCTGGAACTTGCTCTGTAGACCAAGCTGGTCTCGAACTCACAGAGATCTGCCTGCCTCCAGAGTGCTGGGATTAAAAGCATGCGCCACCACCACCCATTAAAGTGGTGCACGATACTAATGCCAGCACTGCAGAGGCAGAGGCAGGCGGATCACTGTTTGAGGCCAACCTGGTCTACACAGTGAGTTCCCATACAGTTATAGCTACACTTTGAGACCCTGTCCCAGGGAAGAAAAAAAAATTGAAAATGGAGTTGACCTAGCAAGAGAGTTAAAGGATGGTACTCACTCATAGGCCCGGCTACTGGAGAGCTTGAGACAAAAGAAGTTAAGCCTAGAGTTAGATACCAACCTAGGCTACAGAATGAGACCCATCTGTGAAGGAGGGGAGTGGAAAGAAAAGCTGTGTAGGTGGAATTTCCTGTCCCACCAGCCAATTCCCAAACAACACAAACTTACTAATTAAAAATGCCCAGCTGGTAACTCAGACTTATTACTAACTAGCTCTTACAACTGAAATTAATCTGTTTCTTGTCTATATTTTACCATGTGACTTGGTACCTTTTCTTTTATTTTTATTTTTTTTAAATTTGTTATGTATACAATGTGCTGTCTGCACACCAGGAGAGGGCACCAGATCTCATTATAGTTGGTTAATAGATGGTTGTGAGCCACCATGTCGTTGCTGGGAGTTGAACTCAAGACCTCTGGAAGAGCAGCCAGTGCTCTTAACCTCTGAGTCATCTCTCCAGTCCCTTGGTACCTTTTTCCAACACAATACATTCATCTTGCTTCTCTCTGCCTCTCCTGGTGACTCCTCCCTCTTTATCCCTGAGCTCCCTGCCTGTCCTCAAGTCCCACCTAATCTCTTCCTTCCTAGTTGTTGGCCATTTAGCTCTTTATTAAACCAATGAGAGCAACATATCCTCACAGTGTACCAAAAGACTATTCCAAACAGAGCTTCCAGGAAGAGGGTGGAGACCTTGAGGCCAGCCAGAGAGGTACATAGTAAGGCTGCTTGAAAAAGAAAAATAAGGGAGGTGCGGCGGGGTGTGTGACTAAAGGTGGTGTATGGGCAGGGAGTCAAAGACAAGGAAGCTGCGGGAACTTGGTAGGGAGGCACCTTTGCTTGGAGGGGTTCATGGACAGGCCTTGCCCCTAGGAATTGGTAGTGTGGGTGTTGGAGGCTACAGGCGGATGGAAAGGTTTCACGGTCTGTTTCGTGTATCCTCTTGGTCTCTTTCAGAAACTGGGGATATTTATATCTGGGGCTGGAATGAGGCAGGGCAGCTGGCCCTGCCCATAAAGAGCCCTGCAGAGGACGAGACAGCAGTGAGAGGGGAAGGTAAGGTCAGTCTCTAGGATTCCTTACTGTGTGCAGATGCTCAGGACCATGGCTTACCCTGGTAACTGTTGGATAAACACTCCTTGCCGAGGGAGGCGATGCCAGTTTTGGCACTGCACAACGGGCAGGTCTGTTGAGTAAGGCTTGGGCACCAGCCCTGGAACCAGAAAGTGTTTTATAGAGTAAAGATAATGTGTGGATGAGGGTCACCTCCATACCCCAGAATGTTAAATATTATAACCACTCTAAAGCTACAGAATTGAATGAAGATTGCCTCAAAGGAGAGGAAGCAGCCATGGCTGATGTTGGAGCTCCTGCCCCCTTCATAGCCATCCAGCCCTTCCCAGCTCTACTGGATCTTCCCACAGGCTCAGATGCAGTCAAGGCCAGCTGCGGATCCCGACACACAGCTGTGGTGACACGTGAGTAGGACTAGCTCAGAGAGCACTACTCCATCCTATTCTTTAGCTGGGGGCTGCAAAAAATAAAACTTTGCCTTGCCCATCCTTTGTTAATTTTAGGGAGTCTCACTTTAGTATGCTGGCTAGCTGGGACTTAGATGCATGTGACGGCCCTTTGTGTGTGCTAGGGACTGGATCGAGAGCTTCTCATGTGCCAAGTAAGCACATTACTGTCTTTTTAACAAAATTACCCTACTTTAGCATCTTTTGAGATCTACTTTATAATCAGCTGCCTCACTTTCATGCTGGCCATGGTGGCACACACTTGTAAATCCTAATCCTCGGGCTGTGCCAGGAATACTGGAACTCTGTTTAAAAGTCTTATCAACTAAAAAAAATAAAAATAAAAACATAAAAAGGTTACTTGTGTATCTTTAACAGCTTCACAGCCTCAGACCGAATAGATTCTTCCTTCTAGAAGGAAACCTGGCCAGTCTAGGGTGTGACTCCATATACTAAGAAAGTTAAGCTTTTTTAAACTGGATCCTTGACCACCCCAAATGTGATAGCAGTTGCACACATATCAGAATTCCAGCATGGCGTCTTTGGCTTGTACCAGGCAAAGCAGTATCTTGCCAGTAACAACAGTAGTGGCAGCTACTTACTGTCTCTTTGGTTGCAGGAGCAGGAGAACTCTATACCTGGGGCTGGGGTAAGTAAAAAAGGTTTTGTGATTCTACCAAGGGAAAAGACCTCAACATAGAGCAGGTGACTAAGGCACACAAACTAGAGGGGGTAGGAGCTTCATGGGAGGACTGGGAAGCCATGTGTCTCCCCTTTGGATGGGAACAGCTAGAGGCACTTGGAGAGCCAGACAGCAGAGAGATGAGATGGCACAGATGAAGGAGGCCCTCTGACCATCTTGACATAGGTAGTGGGGAAGCCTGGAGCAGTCACTGCCACTGTCTTCTGGGGGCCCCAAGGTTTGCTTGGGCTTGAAGCTTTCTGGCTTCACAGAAGACCAGCGGGTTGGCAGGTACAGCCCTACAATGCAGTCTGTGAGCTGGCTTTTTTCCTGGAGGGGAAAAGCAGCAAGGCCTATCAGAGAAAGAAGGGGTTTATTTCACTCTAGGTAAATATGGACAGCTTGGCCACAAGGACAGCAGCAGCATGGATCGACCCTGCCGTGTAGAATACTTTTCAGAAAAACAACTCCAAGTAAGGGCTGTCACCTGTGGACCCTGGAATACCTATGTGTATGCAACAAAGAGAGAGAAAATCTGATATATATGTCAGGTGAATCCCCAGTTCGTTTATGGTGCCTGGGTGAGAATGAATGAACTGTCAGAGGCACATGGAAAGTTTACAGAAGATTCCCCCCACCTTGGGATTAAAGTGCATGACTTAAAAAAATCTCCAAGATAAATCTTGCAAAGCATGTATGAAAGAATTGAATGTATATATAAATGTTTATTTTTGGACAGGGGTATTTGTTTTTGCCAGGGATCAAAAAACCCAAGACCTTCTATGTGCTAGACAAGTATCAATAGCTTATACCCTAGCCCAGCAGCTTTAATAGTTGCAAAATGAGAAAATACCAAAACATGAAAACGTGAATAAAGTGGTGTTACCCAAATGAGAAAGACTCTTAGTCTTTTAGTTTAATCTATAGACCAAAGCAACTATTGATTTGGAGGAGAAAAAAAAAGCATGTAGTTCTTCAAAAGTAACTATATACATTTTATTTTAATACATTTAAAAAAGAACATACATATTTGAATGAACATACAGCATTGCTGTCACAGACCAAGTTTTAAAACTAATGTGTTGACAGAACTGGCACAGGCAGAGAATAAATAATAGTGCGTTGGGAAGAGTAGTGATCATCTGGGTAGGAAAGAAAGAGCCTTGTGGATGTGCAAAATTGCTGATGTCTACGACAAAAATGGCCCAACCCACCCAGATAGCCTCTCCACTGGTTGCCAACTACAGAGAATAGGCATAGTTAGCACAGGGATGGGAGACTGGAGAGAAGCTGAGCAGGTCAGACAAGCATGTGTTCATTCACACATACTTCATAAAGAGATTGCACTGTATAAACAACTGTTACTGCTACTCTTTGGCAGCAGGTCAAGCCATCTCAAATGCAAAATTCTCATTGGGATAGTGCAGGGCGCAGAGCACAGGCCTCTGGGTAAAATTAAAGCTACCATAGCTACAGCTTTAACTGAATATCCCTAAACAAAAAGTTTTTTTTTTTTTGGTAAAGATGTTAATTGCTAATTCATACCCCATGTCTGGGCACAATCATTTTCCAATACAGCAGTGAAATAAGACAAACTCTTGATCAAGTAGAATTATGGGGTAGAGGAAAAAAAAACTTAGGTACCAGATGTTAAAATTTGTACTAACAGTCATAACTAGACTTGAAGGTGTCTCTGCAGACCCACTACACCTATGAAGGCTTTTCATCTGTAGTACTCATGTCTTAAGTTAGGCCCATGGTAACAGAACCTGCCCAAGGTTGTTTCAAACATATTTAAACTGAAGAAAAACTATAAAAGTCAGTCCAGTCTAGGCCCAGGAAGCCTAACTGGTCAAGGAGTCTCAGGACTGGATGTTGGTTGAATTGAGTATTCGAGCGGTAGCATCAGCTCTGGAAGCCTTTGAAAGTTCTCGCTGTTGAAGAATAAACAACATCAGTGAAAGCACTAGTGCATGGCCCTCCACTCAAATGTAGCTAAGGTTAGCAAAGCCCCCAGGGCAGTGTCCCTAAGAGTTCCTAGCACAGCTGTGCTGGGAACAGACAGGAACTCTGAGCACCAGTCTGTTAGTCACAGGCCTGGCAGTGTGCACATATCCCAGCTCTTATCCTCAGCCAGTCCAGTCTTAAACCCTCATATTTCACAAAGTTACTTGTGTAGTTTGGCCAAGCAAGCAACAAGCTTTCTGTTTCTTCCTTTCCCTGTAGGGAATAGAACTCCAGGGCCTTGCATATGCTAGAAGCTTTGGTTTCTTGATTCCTTTGTAAAACAAGGGCCAGACCATTTATCTACCAATCCCGGGGGCTGAGGGCTTTGTAACCTGCTGGTGATTTGATCTCATGCTGGAGTACATGGTAGAAAAGCCAAAGACAGAACAAGAGAACAGAATGGTCACTGAGGAAGACAGTATTAGTAGTAGTCACTGAGTGAGTGGCTTTGGTGCTGCCCCATGGAGTTTGTAACCATAGCTGCTGATACCAGAAGTCACCCTCCAGATAGACTTAGCCAGAGATAGATGGATGTGTAGGTCCATTTAAGCCTCAGATAAAATGAGCTTTGCTGAGCAAACAAAAAAGGGAAAGCTGGATCTGTCGTTCAGCAATCAGCCAACCAGTTCCATACACCTGTTTCTCCCAATAAATACTACCACCACGGTGGTTGGGAAGAAGGCTCAGAGCATTCAACATTCCAAACTGGCCAAACTCATTTCCCAACCTCCTTCCCTGTGGCACCATGACAAGGCAGTGCCAGCTTTTAACTTGGTGTCCCCTACAAGGGTAAGGGGCAGCCTTCACCTCTCACTGGTGAGCTAGTGAGGGAAGAGAAAACAGAGGTTTAAGGAAGAGGCATTGCAGTAAGTGTCAGCAGGTAATGGAACGTAGCCACCACTGCAGTGAAAGGCATTCCAGTCTTTACACACGTTAGCAACTCACGGGTAGAAACAAGTAGAGCTAAGGAAGTAAGCAGAGCCAGCAGATGTAGACAGACGGGAAGTCAGTCCTGTGGGTTAAGGCATATACTCCAGGAAATAATCAGCACACAGGCCAAGAGCCTCAGTAAAAGCAGCACACAGCTGGGGTTCCCATCCCCATTTTTTGGGGGGTCTTTGCACTCTTTCTAGCACATTCTAGGCCTTTGATGTCACAACTGGGGATGGGGCCAGGTATTCTTTAAAAAATTTTTTTTGTAAATAGGCAAAAAATATACATATATATACACACATATATATGTATACATACATTTGCATAGTCTTAAGTGGGGCTGAGAATCCAATTCAAGTCTGAACATGTTTTCTACTAGTCAGTACGTCTGTCTACTAGAAATAGAAACCAGATACTTATTTTTGAAGCCCATAATAGGAATTCTTGGTGTGTGTGTGTGTGTGTGTGTGTGTGTGTGTGTGTGTGTGTGTGTGTGTGTGTGTGTGTGTGTGTGTGGTTGCTGTGGTTTTGGTCTGGTTTTCGTTTAAGGTTCTATGTTGATACAGATGAGGTTATGGGTTAGTGTAGTACCATGCCCAGATGGGAATGAAGCCAGCAGATGACAGATCAGTTTGGAAAGGGGACATGGGACATGCAGATTGCCATACAGACCTGAAGCCCAACAGTGGAGCTGTCAGAGAGGGACGGGTCCTTCTAAGAACAGAGAATTAAGACAATTACCAAGAACTCCACCAAGAGAGCACCAAGGCAGTCATTAGCAGGTTACTCCTGCAGCCAGGAATGGTACAGCTTACGCAGAAGGATCCAGGTCAAACGTCTAGTTGCTGACATCAACTTCCTTCCTGTACCCCTTCAACCACCCACACCTACCATGATCAAGGCAGGAAAGGGATTCTCAGCCTCCAGGTAACAATCCTGACAGAATATGCTGGGGGACTTGGGAAGCCGCCTGCCCTGCCAACTGTGTGCTCCCCAGAGACTGGTAGATATCAAAAGTGAATTACCGAAAACTCGGAATAGGTGCTGGCAATAGACTTAATGCTGCAGTTGTGCTGGAGGGGGGTCGAGCCAGAGTACCCACCGCTCAGCATGCTGCCATTGAACTCCATGTTCTCCTTGTTGGCCCTGAGGCGGGCAGCTCTAGGTGTTTTCTTTCCAGAACACATAGAAGTGACTACTGACTGCAGAGGAGAAAAATATCCATGTTATCCATCACCCTAGAATAAATGTATTCACATAAAACCCCTGATGTCACATTTATATTACTCATGTGTCTATAATTCTATACTTCTGCCTTTAAAATGGTACAGTTAAGTCAGGCATGGTGTTGCAACCTTTAATCCAACAGAAGCAGGTGGGTTGTTGAGATCCTGGTCTACATGGTGGCTTCCAGAACAGCCAGAGCGACATGGAGGTTTAGCTTTTTAAAAATGTGCTGGGCACCAAACCCACAGTCTGCTGAATACAAGTCATGCTTGGCACTGAGCTATTAAGGCCCTAGTTCCCGGAATGAATTACACTTCTTAGTAAAGTTCTACTCCTCAGTGGGTCTACTTACCAGTTTCACCAGGCCAGAAGCTACCACCTAACAGTTCACCCAGCCCTTAAATGGTGTCAGTGAGGAATGGTGACTGTTTCCCCTCCTCTTTGGCCATTATCTAATGCCTAGCACATAACTAAAAGTCATGAAAAACTCGGCAATAAGTTTTTAAACGTGTGTGACCAAAAATTGATTCAGGGGATGAAGAGGTAGTTCAGCAGTTAAGAGCCCTGGCTGTTCTTCCAGAGGACCTGAGTTCAACTCCCAGCAACCACATGATGGCTCCCAACCATCTATAGTAGGGTCTGATGCCCTCCCTCTGGTGTCTTCTTCATAAAGATGTATACACAGGTAGAGCACCCACACACATAATAAACAAATAAGTAGATATATTAATCTTAAAAAAACAAAACTCATTCAGAATCAATGTCTCATGAATCTGAGGTGTTTCCAGCATCAGCTGCTTGTGTAGTGTCTACTAACTGCAGCCTTTGCTCTGAACACACAACACACACTGGGAATTTGCATGTCATACCGTACCCTGCCAACACATGCTGTTTGAAACACCTTAGTGCTGATTCAAGAGCACTTAGCAGCATAAACTGCAGCAGTATCTTTACATAGAGCTCTGCTGTTAACAGGAAAATGATTGCTTAATTACGGAAAGCAAACTTTTAATACTTTCCTTTTCATATAAGTATCAAATTAATATGTCCTTAGATTAACTGTGATCTTAGAAACTAGGTAGAGTTTAATAAATACATAGAAGAGTCCTTTCCATCCCATCATTGAACCAGAATTTGCTGATAATCGCTAAACTGGGGTTGGGGCTACAAGGACAAATTAGAAACTAGGTAGAGGAGGAAAACAAAAGCAAACAGGGATATTCTTGTACAGAATATACTAACCTTGCTGCCAGAAGGAGGTAATCGGGATACAGGGGAACGGTGCATGGTTCCACCAAAGGCAGGCCGAATGCTGCTATTGGGGGTAGCACTGGACATGGTGGTGGTGTTCATCTAAGAACAGATACTTTATTGATGGGAGGTTAACAACATCAGTCTTTGCAATCACCCAGCTCTACCCTGCAGGGAAGTGAGCATGAAGTGTCCAGGAAGGAGCTTCTACAGAAACGCTGCACAGCTTTAAGCAAGTTTAAGAAATGTTTCAAAGACTATTTAGACCTACCAGATGGAACTGTAAACTATATGACACAAGGCATGTACCATTTGACCCAAACATTTTACCCAAGAGAAATGAATGCATATATCCATGTGAAGACCTCTACATGTTTATGGCAATTTTATTTGTAACAATCCAAAGCTAAAAATAAATATCCCTTAACAGATGACTGTGATGGGGATGTCTTCTGTAAATATGTTTCTCTTATTGGTTGGTGAATAAAGCACTGTGGCCAATGAGGCAGGATGATAGGTGGGACTAGAAGACAAGGAGGATTCTGGGAAAGGCAGGTAGACTGAGTCGACATGTAGGACAAGGAAGGAGTAATCATGTTGGGCATTGCTGGGTCAGCCACAGCCTCGTGGCAGTGCATAGACTGATAGAAACGGGTTAATAACTAAGACAGAGCTAGCCAATAGAAAGAAGCCCTAGCCGACGGCCAACAGTATTATAACTAATATAGCATCTGCATGTTCATTTGGGGCTCATGCAGCTCTGGGACCAGGCTGGCAGAGAGAATGTCCCTAACATGACTGGACAAGCAGATTATTACACATTAACAAAAAAGAATACTGTCCACTTGTCAGGCCTTTAACCCAGCACTCAGGAGGCAGAGGCACATGGATCTCTGTGAGTTTGAGGCCAGCCTGGTCTACAAAGTGAATTCCAGGACAGGCTCCAAAGCTACAGAGAAACCCTGTCTCGAAAAACCAAAAAAAAAAATGCAACATTGCATATGTGCTACTTAATTTTTAAAAATGCTTGTCATGTTGGGTGTGGTGGCTCAAGCCTATAATCCCAACCAGCATTTTAAGAGGCATTTATTAAAATCGTGGAAGGTGTCTTTCACCCAGTACTGTAACTACCTACTGGAATTACAGGACGATTAACTTTTTAAAAAATTTTTTTCAAGGCAGGGTTTCTTGTGTAGCCCTGGCTATCCTGTAACTCACTCTGTAGACCAGGCTGGCCTTCAACTCAGACTTGCCTGCTTCTGCCTCCAGAGTGCTAGGATTAAAGGTGTACGCCATCACTACCTGGCTTTGAATGGTGAACTTCTGAAAACGTCACCACCACAGAATGCTGCTGGCAGTTATCAGCCACCAGGGGTTTATTCATGCACGGTCTTGCTATCATGCACAGAACTGGCCACTCTCTGATTGTCACTATAAGCTGCTACTCTTAAGTCTTTTCCCATACACTCTAAAATAGACTCAGCCTAGAAAGACAGAAATCCTTTTACGTTCTTAGCAGGACAAAGGGCAATAAAAAGCAAGGAAGTCTAGCTTCCCCATGCCCTTGTAAACAGCAACAGCATGAAGATAGATTTACCTTGCGTACTTTGCCAGGCTTGTTGGGAGTCAGTCCTGGTCTCTTGCTAGGAGTCCGGGGAGCACTGCCGTAGAGCATCTCTGTCTCTGTCTGTCTCTTGTTCTTTAGTTGCTGAATGAAACAATGATATGCCCAGTAAGATAGCAGAACCAGAAACCCAGGTAAAAATCTTTGCAGGCTGAGGTAGAAGGAGCTGCTGCAATCTTCAACAAACTCTGGTCCCTGGAAGAGACACAGGACCACTAATTGCTATCCTCTTTAACTAATTTGTGTGCACAACTTACTCTTTCCTGCTTGGCTTTTTCTTTCTCCAGTCGATGTAATTCCCACTGTTCTGTAACATACTCCATGAATTTCTGCCCGTTCACCATAAATGCCATTGATTGCTCTTCTTCCCACTTTTCAATCCGTGCTTTCAACTCCTCTTCCAGCTAGCCCGGAAATAAAGACATGTTATTTACCTCTAATCTTTGTGTTAATCTCAAATGAAATAATTATCCTAGAGATAGACTCTTTCCAGTGTCACAACCCCTCTGATAGCTGAACCCACATGAATACAGGTTGAGTGGAAACCAAAGACTGAGAGTTCATTTAGACACACCCACTAAAAGAGAAAAAAAGCAAGGCCCCAGTCTGAAAATGGAGGTTGTGATGCCTGAAGTTGGAAGCAACACTGGGAATATCAACATTATCTAGACAGGGTATATTTTGAATAGGACTATGGAACCAACCACACACACTACCAGGGTCTCAATATGGAGGCAATCTCTTAACTAGCAGTAAAGATGGATAAGTTGAACTTAATGTCTGAGTTCCCTCTTCTCTACACATGGAAATAACATTAACCTATAGGGATACTGGACAATGATATGAATAAATGAAATACCATTGAATACTATCTGGCAAAAGTCAATAAAAGCTATTTAATACTATTACTAAACAGAAGACAATAAAGGACACAGCACTTTTGTAAAAGTTTGCCTTATGCTAAAGGCATAGGTTACCCTATAATTCACTGTGATGTCTTCACCCCTAGGAAACACACCTCATTGTCATTATCTGGAGACAGTCTTTAAGGTAAGTGGGTTCAAATAAGGTCATTAGGGTAGGTCCAAATACAATAGGACCAACAGTAAGTAGGACAGAGACCCAGAGGAAGGTGATGTGAAGACACAGGAAGAGCAAATGGCAGAAGTCAGGAGAGACCCAACCCTATCGAAGACACCTTGAGCTCATACTTCTAGCATCCAGAAGTAGAAACAAATACATTTCTCTTGTGTTAAGCCAACTAATCTCTGGTAGCTTAGAAAAGACATAGAAAACTCGTAGACTCTGATACTCAGTTGTTATACCAAAGGCCCAATACATACTTACTGTCCTTCCTATGTTTAAAAAGACCAAGAGTAAGTTATCTTACAACCAGAATTACCTTCGGGAGTGTCTTCTGGAGCTTTGCTCGTTCTTTTTCTTCTTTTAGAAGATTTCCCCCTCGGTTTGTAAACCGACTTGGATCTGAAGCTTTTCTCTGTGAAAAACACATTATTAGAGTAAAGCCTAGAGGGCTGTGGAGGTGAATCAGTAAAGTGCCTGCTGAATAAGCACGAGGGCTGGAGTCAGGCCCCCAGCACCCATGTCTGCAACCCCAGTGCTTGGCAGTCGGGACTGTTGGACAAGGGGATCCTGAGGCCTGATGGCCAGCCAGTCTAGAGGCGGGCGGATCTCTGTAATTTCAAGGCCAGGCTGGTCTGCACAGTTGAGTTCCAGGGCAATCAAAGCTATATAATGAAACACTGTTTCAAAAGAAAGCAATTGACGACATCTGATATTAATCTCTTGCGCATGTACACATGTGCTCCCTCCCACCCACATGAACACTTACACATACATACACCACATAACACACCAAAACCAGAAACCTACCATAGACACCAGTTACTTCTGCTAAGGCTCCTCCTAATCAGATGCATATATGAAAGTGATTTTATGAGTTGTGTATTCCTGTTTACTCAACAGTGAAAAATGGTAATTTTCTAGGCCATGGACACACCCTGCCATATTTAAGGTCATACACTGGGCATCAGAAACACTAGCATTAAAAAAAAAACTTAACATATATTAATTACACATAATAGATAATAGTGATTTTCTTTTCTTTTCTTTTTTTTTTTTTAAACAGGGTTTCTCTGTATAACTCTAGCCCTAGTTGTCTATCCTGGAACTCACTCTATAGACCAGCCTGGCCTTGAACTTAGAAATCCACCTACATCTGCCTCCCGAGCTAAGATTAAAGGTGTGTACCACCATCACTCCCTGTCTGAGTTTCATGTTTTCATGCATGTACGTGATGTTTTTTGTTTATAGTCAACCTACTACTCTCTTATCTTCTTACGGCTGCTGATTCCCTTCCTCTTGCCAACTATCCATCTACATTTTTTTTTTGAGGGGGTTGACCCAAAGAGCTTTCAATTAGGGTTGCTTACAGAATCATAGGTGAAGGGTTATTTATAGGAGCATGGGCAACTTTGCAATAGCTACACTACTTAAGAGAGAAAAGTCTCCCTCCCTCAGAATTGTCAATAGATCTTTAGGGGAGGGGGAAGGCCTGGTGTGCCCCCTCCCTGTCTATTACCTTATAATTTAAAGAATAAAAGTAGTAAGTGCCCTCTTCTTTGTTGAATGTGAGATGACAGAGTTATAAGTTGAGGCTGTCACAAGCTTTTATTTCCAGCATTTGGGGACAGGCAGATCTCTGAGTTCCAGGCCATCTGGAGCTACAGAGTGAGACCTTGTTTGGGTTTTCTGTACAGAGGGTTTCTCTGTAACACTCCTGGCTGTCTTGGAACTCACTTTGTAGACCAGGCCTGCCTCTGCCTCCCAAGTTCTGAGAGTGAAGGCATGTACCAACCTAGCTGGGTGAGACTTTTTTTTTAAAATTACAATGGAATTGAATAGAGAATATGTGGAGGGATTGCAAGGAGGCCTGCACTCAGGAGTTAGTGTGGTGCCTTTACAAGCCCACTAACTTCTGTACTTAAAACTAGCACAAGGAAAAGCCTGGGTTAACTACCCCGCATTGCCAGAAAATGCAAAATGTTGGGCTGGGGATGTAGCTGAATGATAGAACATGTCTGAGACCCTGGGTTCAATCCTCAGAACCATCAAAAAAAAAAAAAAAAAAAAAAAGATTTTAAAAAAAATTTTTCGTTCTTGTTATTTTCTAACACATACATAGTAATGAGTACATATTATAAGTTAGATGTGCTACTCAAAATTAGAGGCAGGTTATCAATAGTATTTTTTTTTAAGTATTTTATTCATTTATGTGTATTATACAGTCTTCTGCCTGCATGCCAGCAGAGGGCACCAGATTTCATTCAAGGTGGTTGTGAGCCGTGAGCCACCATGTGGTTGCCAGGAATTGAACTCAGAACCTCTGGAAGAACAGTCAGTGCTTTTAACCACTGAGCCATCTCTCCAGCCCCCAGTCATCAGTAGTATTCTTGACATAGTGCCTGATTGGTATAGCCTATAAAGAACTGCAGGGGGCACTAACCTCTTCGATTCCATCTTAAATGTGGGTGTGTCAACCAGGGACTCTATATTTACATTTCTGCCCATGACTTCTCTCTGCTTGCAAGCACAAGTAACGACTACCAAGAACTAACTGTATGCCTCAGTTTTTTTCACTGAGTCTGACTTCTCTATTTGTAATGCTTTTTCTTTTTGAAACAATCCTTCAGTTTCCCAAGTGCCAGGATTATAGGCATGGGCTACCACCACACCTGGAGTGCTGTCATGATGGTTGATTTCACTCTAGAGAGATACAGAGGAGGATACCTCAAACTCCAGGAAGAGTTTCCAGCTTTCTTCCCACTTCTGGACACCTTCAAATAGTTCCTTGTGAGTTTCATAGTAGTTCCTTAACCGTACAATCTCAGCGTCATGAAGATGAAGCAGGGTTTCTGTGTAGTCCTCTGCAACACAAAAGCTTGGTAGTATTTTTTTGGGTTTTGTTTTCTTTTTTACACAAATTCCTTTAGTACAATGATTTTCAACCTGTGGGTCTTTGACCTCTTGTGGTCATATATAATATAGCCTGAATATCAGATATTTACAGTTATGAAGTAGCAACAAAATAATTTTATGGTTGGGGTCACCACAACATGAGGAACTGAACATATATAAATTACACTGTATTCAAGGGTCACAACATTAGGAAGGTTGAGAACCACAGTTCTTGTTTGGTATTCCAAGTAACTAACCCTATATCAGTGAAAATTTTCTACCTTATAATTTAAAATGATATAGGAATAAAGTAAAAATAAACCTTAAAAAGAAAAGAGGAAGGGAGAGAGAAATAAAAGCCAGCCACAGTAGTTGGGATGGATTAAAATAGTCTAAATTGATGAACATTCTCCAAAATGTGTTGTCTCTTTCTTCTTGCACAGCTGACAGATTGGGCAACATAAAGTATCTAAACACCTATTATTTTGTTAGGGCACTTCACCTCTCTGTTCAGTTTAAGACAGTCTGGAACTCTCCTTCTTTTTGACTCCCTTGACTCAAGCATTTAGTTGCTATACCACTGGGTTTAGTTGCTCAAAACTTTGTGTTTTATTACCCTCCACCCCCCTTTTTTTGGGAGGCAGGGTTTTCTATAGCTTTGAAGTCAGTCTATTTTGGAACTCATTCTGTGAACCAGGCTGGCCTTGAACTCAGATCCACCTGCCTCGCCAGTGCTGAAATTAAAGGTGTGTGCCACCACCACCCAACTTAGTGCCCTTTTCTTATGACATGAAAACTAAGTGAGGGATTATTTTTAAGGCTTGGCTCTGTCTGCTCAGAAGTAGAAATACAGAACTTCCAGGTGAGTGTCTGAACTTATAAAAGACCTGTGAGGGTGGCCACATGAAGATCATCACCTCTGTACTAACCAGAATAGTAAGGGGCAAACGCCTGTCTCTGTTCCTGGCTATAAAAACACTGCTCCCAGAACTGAGCCAGCTCCACTCGAATTGTCTCAATCACTTGCTTTATGTTTTGCATTTTCAGTTCTTCTAAGCGATCCACTTCTAATTGCAGCTAAAGAAAAAAAGGCAAAGATTACAGCCATACTTTTATACTCACTTGTTTACCTTTCCACATTTAAATAAAACGACAACACAAAGCTATAGAAGTAAATCAACAACGCATCTTATAACATTATAAAAGCCAGAAATCTAAGGAATGTGCCCACAAAATGTGCCAAAATAGAACTTGTCTTTTCTGGCCTAAGACAGTAGGTCGTAAGGACACTGGACAGAGCACATTTACCCAGCGCTCGTTGGTCTTTCTTTTTTCTTTTTTTGGTTTTTCAAGACAGGGTTTCTCTGTGGTTTTGGAGGCTGTCCTGGAACTCACTCTGTACATCAGGCTGGTCTCGAATTCACAGAGATCAGCCTGCCTCTGCCTCCAGAGTACCTGGATTAACGGCGAGCACCACCAATGCCCGGCCTGCCCGTTGGTTTTCTTACCGCATTCCTGACTTTGGCTTTTGACCCCGTCATAATTGCAGTCACAGGTTCTCTCTCTTCTTCAGGTATCTGTAACCGATTCCAGAGCTCTCGAATCTGAGCACGGAGCCCTTCGCACTCTGCTTCATTTTTTGATTTTTTAATTTCCAGCTGTAGCAAGGAAAGGCAGTGGTTACACCAAAATCAAGAAACTTAGCTTTCTAGTCTCTCAAAGGAAAATGTCTGGGTCCATGAGAAGAGAAAGAACTTGCATAAGATCCATATATATTTATATTTGTATCTTCTCTATGTGCCACAAGCTGGCTTTTACTTAGCTTCCAGAGTGCTGGGATTATAGTTTAGGTGTGTGCCATCACACTTTTACATTGAGTGCTGAGAAACCTGTTTCTATGCCATCAAAACACACACTGTAAGACTGTCACTGCATAGGATATCAGACCTATAAGAGAATTCAAATTTTGACTTGTCATCTATTATTTTGTTTTGTTTTTTAAGAGTTATTGACAACCTCCAAAGCAATACAGAGAAACCCTGTCTTGAAAAACACGAAAAAAAAAAGTAATTTGTTATATGTAGCATTCTGCCTGCATGTATGCCTGTACACCAGAAGAGGGCACCAGATCTCATTATGGATGGTTGTGAGCCACCATGTGGTTGCCGGAAATTGAACTCAGAACCTCTGCAAGTACAGTCAATGCTCTTAACTGCTGAGCCATCTTTCCAGCCCATTGTTGTTGTAGTTTAAGACAGGGCCTCATTATGTAGCCCTGGCTGACCTGGAATTCACAGAGATTCATGCTTCTGCCTCCTGGGTGCTGGGTTTAAAGGCATGTGTCACCATGCCCAGCTCAGGATTAAAATTTTATTTTATTATAATTAAACATAGGATAATTAAAATGGGTAACACTATTTCAGCTGAAATGTCAATTTAATGTTCTAAGAATATTTATTACATAAAATTTTTTTATAATTAAAAGAAAAAGCGTCAGAGCTATGATTAGGGCTCATTGGCTAGGGTGTACGATTCATGAGACTACAAGATTTGAGTTCAATCACTACCACTAAAAAAGGAAAACAGGAGCTGAGGAGATAGCTCGGTCAATAAAGCGCTTGCTACTCAAGCAATAAGGACCGAGTTCAAGCAAAACACTTCTGGTAGGAGATGCTTGAAATCTTAGTGTTATGTGATATTTGGTCACTGTGTGAAAATGTGCTGCTGTTTCACCCTGCCTGTTTAAGGCACCTAATTTTGGTTTACTAAAAAGCTGAATGGCCAGTAGCAGACAGGAAAGGTTAGGTGGGACTGCTGGGCAGAGAACTTGGGGGTGAATCTAGGCGGTGGGGGACGGACATACAGATTGGCAGAATCCAGATTAATAGGAATAGGGTAACTTATAGGAAAGAGTTGGGAACAAGCTTAAATTAAAGGCCAAGCTTTCATAATTAATAAGTCTCTGTGTCATTATTTTGGGGCTGATGGTTCCAAGAAAGTCTGACAAGAAAGTCCTCTTAGCACCGGAAAGGTGAGGCAGATCTGTAAGGCTCACTGGCTGACAAGCCTAGCTTGATAAGTGAGCAGGAGGGGCTGGAGAGATGGCTCAGAGGTTAAGAGCACTGGCTGCTCTTCCAGGGGTCCTGAGCTCAATTCCCAGCAACCACATGGTGACTCATAGTCATCTATTATTCAATCTGGTGCCCTCTTCCAGCATGTAGGCAGAACACTGTATATGTATGTAATAAATAAATAAATCTTTAAAAAAAAAATAAGTGAGCACCAGTTCCAGTGAGAACTTGCTCAATAAGGTGGATAGCTTAGTAGTGACACTTGGATTGACCTTTGACACATGTCCACACTTACACTAAACAAACAGATATATTACCTATTGTTGTTTGGTCCTTTGTCTTCACTTATTCCCTCCACCCACCCACCCCCCCCCTTTTTTTTTTTTTTTTTTTTTTTTTTTTTTTTTGGTTTTTCAAGACAGGGTCTCTCTGTGTAGCACTTGCTGACTTTGAGCTCACTGCATGGATGAGACTGGGCTGGAACTCGAGAGGTCTACCTGCCTCTTCCTCCCTTAATTCACCTTACTTAAAACTAAAGCAAAAGCTGTCAGTTTTTTCAAACTGATAAGTACTAGTGAGATGTCACAGCACGTTACCTGCTGTAGCAGCTTCTGTAGTGTTGCAATGTTCTCCAACGACAAACAAAAGGCACTTTCATCTTCACACACTATGTCTTTTTCAAAGCTTGTGTCAGGAGTGTGTTCTAATTCTTCCATACACAATATGATTTGTCTCTTAATGTTGACAAACTGCTCATGCCTAGATTCCTAAGATAAACAGAATTATTATAAGGCACCTAGAAGCCAAATAAAGTTTTAGGGTAGATTGAATGCAGACAGCATACCTTTGTTTCCCTCAGAGTTGCCACATGTTGTCGGAACAGATTCAGCTCTTCTAAGGTGGGGACAGAGGTGCTGTCCACATCATACGTAGGCATACAAAGAATTTCACAGAGTTCTTGATCTTGTTCTTGGAGTAGCTTAAGTTCCTGCTTTCTCTCCTTTTTCTGTTTTCTCAACAACTCTACTTGAGTGCGCAAATCTTTTTCTAGTTGCAAGACAGTTGTCTCTTTTTCTTCCTGTATGAAATAAGATATGGCTATAGAAAGGTCCAAGGATGGGAAGGAAACCGAGAGAGAATATGAATGACAAATGTTTAAATTTACAAACAAGGCAGTTTAAGCCTGGGATGGTGGCACACACTTTAAATTCTAGCACTTGGCAGAGGTGGGGGTTTTATCTATAAGTTCAAGGTCAGCCTGGTCTACAAACTGAGTTCCAGGATGGCCAGGGATATTACACAGAGAAACACTGTCTTAAAAAAAAAAATAGTTTATAGCTAACAGAAAATGATATAATGAGGATCACCTAGGCTTTCTAGCAGGGAAAGACAAACAGGACCTTGTTTATCTCTTTTTTTTTTTTTTTTTTTTTTTTTGGTTTTTTTCAAGACAGGGTTTCTCTGTATTGTTTTGGAGCCTGTCCTGGAACTAGCTTGGTAGACCAGGTTGGCCTCGAACTCACAGAGATCCGCCTGCCTCTGCTTCCAGAGTGCTGGGATTAAAGGCGTGCGCTACCACCGCCCGGCTTCCATCTTTACCATTCTTAAGTGCGGTGGTATTATAATACCGATAGTCTTCAACTTAGCAACAGATTTCATGGTTTTTCATCTTCACAACAGGACAAAAGCAATATGCATTCAGTAGAATCTATATTGCAAGTATGAACACAGCTAGTTTTTCACTTTCAATACAGAACTCAAATTACACAAACTGTGAAATACTTTTTCCTGAAATGGTCTCACTGGCCTGAGCTTGGCTCAGGCTTCCACATGCTGAGATTACATGCCTTCACTATCACATCAAGCAACAATCAGGTGTGTACAACCTTTTCACACTGTGGCATAACACTGACACACACAGCTCATACCTGAGAACAGGGCTGTCAAGATGACTTGTAGGGTAAAGGCTTGCTGTCAAGCCTGACTATCTAAGTTTGATTCCCCAGAACCCACATGGTAGAAGAATAAAACCAACTCAAGCCTAGTTGTCCCCTGACCTCTATATGACAATGGCATGTACACAACCACACACCCACATTAACAATAAAGATCTCATGTTTTAAGAGCTTTATGATTTTTTAAAATCTGGTTTTATAAATTTAACTTTATTACTGCTGTTTGTGTATAGTAGGGGAACATGCACTTTGCCATGACATGCATTAGGACAGTCATAGGACAGTTTTATGAAGTTGATTCTTTCCACTCATTCTTATGTGGGTTCTGGACATTGAACTCAGGTCAGCAGGCTTTTATATGATGAATGCTTTATCCACTGATAGCATCTTATTGGCCTGTTCTCATCTTTTATTTTGACCAATTCAAGATGCTAAAACTAGGACATCATGCTGGTCAAACTTCTACCACTCAACTGCACCCACAGTGGGTGGATTACAGCTGTGAATTAATTCACAGGTTGGACCCTTGTGTATGATGGTGCCTAACTCTAGGCTGTGTTTTGTGCATATGTACAATAACCAAGTAACTGAATTGGATCAATTGTACAATTTTCTAAAATTTATGATGGCTTTATTAGGATGGAAGTCTAAGGTAAGAAGCAATTGTAAATATAGCTGTGTAATCATCATGACCACTAACCCCAGAACTCATTTTATCTTGCAAAACTGAAATCATTAATTTGGTAAAAGGTCCTCAATTTTATGCCCCCCCCAATCCAACCTATTTTATTGAATCTGACTGTTTTTGGTTCCAGAATACTTTTGCAAAAGGTGTTCAATGACTAGAAAGCTTACTTTGGTTAGCTAGAAGATGGTATATCTAGTTCTTATTAACTGAATACTTGCACTAAAAATTCTATGAACACGTCTTTACCAATAACAAATTTTAGTAGATCCTGTTCTATTCCTAGTAGATTAAGAAGGGAATAGAGTGAGTGGTAATTCTATGTTCTACAAATATAGTTTCATTTAGCATTGTTAAAAACTTGCCATATATTCAAGGAAGACAGATGTATCAGTGTACTCCCAATTTCTCATATACCTAATTTCACACTGAGAGTTTAAGAAAAAAAGAGAAACTTTATGTAGCAAATCCACGTCATTTATGTTAATTTCAGGAAACTGGTCTAATGTCATAGTCTGCTTGAATGCTCTTGACTGCCAGGGATCAATTATCCTTACCCTTCAAAGGCAGTGGTAAGTTTTTCCTGTAACAATAAAAGGAACATGAGAACCAGTCATCATTCCCTTTTCAAAGCTCCCTATGTGTCCCAACTTTAGTGGTATGCAGCTTTTGATTATTAAAATAACCATAAAGGTTTAATTTTGTTTGGTACTCCTTCTTTGTATCACTAGATATCCTTGCCTCCTATGCACCCACTCTATTCTGTAGGGATGGATGATAGCACATACTTATTTGTGAACAAATGGATAGAGGACAGAGACCAACTTTCGGGTAATACTGTCTACCTTGTTCTTTGTTTGAAAGATTTCCTTATCAGGGTATGAGCTTCTCTCCTGCATGTATTCATGTATTTAAATGCACTACATGAGGACCTGGTGCTCACTGAAGTCACAAGATGGTGCTGGATCCCCTGGAATTGGAGTTCAGGACAGTTGTAAGTCACCACATGTGCTGGGAACTGAAACCAGCTTCTATGCAAGAGCAGCAGATGCCCTCAACTGCTGAACCTTTCTACAGCTGCTATCTTGTTTTTTGCCTTATTTTGTTTTTTTTTGTTTTGTTTTGTTTTGTTTTGTTTTTTGAGACAGGGTTTCTCTGTGGCTTTGGAGGCTGTCCTAGAACTAGCTCTTGTAGACCAGGCTGGTCTCGAAACTCAGAGATCGGCCTGCCTCTGCCTCCCAAGTGGTGGGACTAAAGGCATGCGCCACCACCTGGCTTAGTTTGTATTTTGGAAACAAGGTCTCTCACTGGTTTGAAGCTTAAGTCTCAAAAATTCACCTATATCTGCTTCCACAATGCTGAGGTTACAAGCATATGCCACCATTATGATTTTTTTTTCCTCTTGAGACAAGGTTTCTCTGTGATACCCTAGCTGTCCTGGAATTCACTCTGTAGACCAGGCTGACCTTGAATTTTCAGAGATCCGCCTGCCTCTGCCTCCCAAGTGCTGGGATTAAAGGTGTGTGCCATCATGGCCTGGCAATCTAGCTTTCTTGCAAGGATTATGAGGATTGAATTCAGGTTCTCATGCCTATGAGGGAAGGACTTTACCAATTAACCCATTTCTTCAATGTCCCCCTACCCTCCTCTTTCAAACAAAGATCCACGCCACCCTTTTCCTCAAAGTTAAAACATTATTATGCTCTATAAAACTGAAATACAGCAAGAAGTATCCGGTAACCTATTAGCTATTGCATGTCAATAGGGTAACTATCTTTCACATTTCTCGTGTCTATCTCTCCTCCTACAAGAACGCTTTCCATTTGATTGCTAAGTTAAAATGTATTCCTGTCTCAGACCCCAACCAGTCCCCAAGCACTCTGTGTTGCCGCACCTGAAATGGCTTCACTTGTAACTCACTGCACAGGGTACTCAGCTCCTTCTCACAGAAGGAGATGCTCTTGAGAAGCCGTTCCCTCAGGCTCTCCTCTTCAGCAATCATCCTATCCAGAAGATCCTGTGTGAGAGAAAACAGTTGGCAAAGGTTTGGAGCCACTGGGAATAAAACAAAACACAACAAAAACAACTAGCATCTCAAAACTCACATAATTTCAAATTTTGCAGAAAAAGCTTTAAATACACAAAACCAGGAAGAGCCTGTGATATCCTAGTATGAATGACCAAATGTTATTATTTTTATTATTTATGTGTGCTCACAATGTGTGGTTGAGGAATGTAAATGTTATACAATGAGCGTAAGGAGAGAAGACATCTCTATGGACTCATTTCTCCTGTATACCTTATATTGATGGGTTCTGGTGATGGAGCTCAGGTCTTAGGCTTCTATCATGGAGTTGCAAATGCCTTTACCTACTAAGGCACCTATCCGTCCCCAAATATCAGTGTGTCTGCTGTCTCAAATAAGGCAGCAGCACCCCACCTCCTGGTCACTGCACAAAGACCAGCACCACTCCTCACCTTGATGTGCTTCTTCACAACCTCGGTTCTTTGCAAGCGCTGCTCCTCTGGAATCCCAATCAATTCCCATATTTCCCGAAGGTGAATCAGAGCTTTCTGGAGGCAGACGACGGACTCCTCTGCTAGCACTTCACTGAAAATCAATATAAAACCATTTTGCTCAGAATAGCCAGCATCACTGCCGCAAGACTAAAAGCACTATTTTCAAAAACTAAATTGAGTAGTTTCCCAGTGGCTTTAAGAGTAAAATGAAATTAGTGTAAGCATAATAGTTTAATAAGTACATAGCCATTCTCTGTGCCTTCTAAATGCCACAGAAGCAAAATTATTATATTCATTCTTAGTAAGACCCATGATTCTATGTATGGCAGTTTATTACTGACTTACAAATGCTTTTATAAAAGAAAAGCCAAACAAAATGCCCTAATTAACATAAGAGCTTGCATGTAAAAAGCCCCTGAAAACAGATGGCAAAGAGCTGGGTATGGTGTCGGTCTTATGCCTGTAAAGCATGCATTTAAGAGGCTGAGGCCAACCTGGGAAATAGAATGAGAGCCTTTAGTCCCAGCACTCAGAGGCAGAGGAAGGTGAATCTCTGTGAGTTTGAGGCCAGCCTGGTATACAGAGTATGTTCCAGGACAGGCTCCAAAGCCACAGAGAAACCTCAGGAAAACAGTTCAGTTACCTTATCCTCCCTCCTATCAACCCCTCCAGCCTGCAGCCAACAGAACGTCCTACATCTTCCCTGGACAATGTCCCCTACCCTACTCATATGTGGTTTATTTTCTGATGCCGTGTATTTTTATAAATTAGGCTCCCTTCATCTGCCACAGTCTCATCTGGAGAACTATGAACATGTCACCATTATGACATGCTTTTAAATTTTTTATTTATTTTTATGTGTTTTGCCTGCTTTTGTGTCTGGTGCCTAAGGAGATCAAAAGAGGACACTGAATCCCTTGAAATTTGAGCTACAAACACTGTGAGAGCTGCCATGTAGGTGTTAAGAATTAAACCCAGGTCTTCTTGAAGAGCTAGTTGTTCATTAAATGCGAGAGGAGAGCAGAGCATGGCGGCACACACCTTTAATCCCAGCACCCTGAGACAGAGGCTGGCCACCAGAGCTACATGTAAGATCCTGTCTCAGAAACACAGCAACAAAAAAGTGGAAGGCTCTGAATTCCCACCAATGATCCCCTATGCTCCTAACTTCCAGATGCCATCAAGGCCACTTAGGTTCAGTAACATATATAGAAGATAAAACCATTTCTTTTCCTGAATAAATAAATGTTGAAAGAATGTGAGCACATCTCTCTCCAAATGAGATCTATAAATGGCTGGTTGTTCAGGGTTAGTCATCAAGAAAATGTAAATCAAAATCACAATGAGATACCACTTCATAGCCAAGATGGCTATAAGCAAAGACAGATTAACAGCTGGGCATTGGTGGTGATGCATACCTTTAATCCCAGCCCTCTGCATTAAAAAAGGCAGGTGGGGAGCTGGAGATATGGCTTAGCAGTTAAGAGCACTGGCTGCTCTTCCAGAGGACCAGGGTTCAACTCCCAACACCCACATGGGAGATCACAATTGTCTGTATTAACTCCAGTTCCAAGGGATCAACACCCTCACACAGAAACATATGTAGACAAGAAACCAGTGCACATAAAATAAAAACAAACCTTTAAAAACTTTTTTAGATCTCAAAAATAAAGGGCAGGTGAGTTCCAGGCCACCTGGTCTAGAGTTCAGATAGCCAGGGCAATACAGAGAGGAACACTATGTTGAACTACCCTAACCAAAAAATACGGCAAATATTGGTGACAAACTATACCCTTATACATGGGGGAAGGGCCTAGGCTCTGCCCTGGATGAAATGACAGACTCTGGAGATCCCCCATGGAGGACCTCACCCTCCCTGGGGAATGGTGTGGGGATTGGGTGAGGGATTGGGGGGCTGATGGAGGGGCAAGGGAGGAGGGGTGGGAGAGGGAGCTGGGATTGACATGTGAAGCAAGCATGTTTCTAATTTAAATGAAAAAAAACATATTGGGAAAAAAAACTATACCCTTATATACTGCTTATAGAATGCAAGATGATGTAGCCACATTAGTGTACAATCTACTAGTTCTCAAACAATCAGTTATCATACAACCCAACAATCTCACTACTAGGATTTATCCAAGAGAAGAGAAAAGATGTGCACATAAAATTTGTTAAGAGGGGTATGATCATGCATGCCTTAATTCCAGCACTCAGGAGGCAAAGCACATGGATTTCTGAATTCAAGGCCAGCCTGGTCTACAGAGTCAGCTCCAGAACTACACAGAGAAACCCTGTCTGGCAAGGGTGGGTAGGGTGAGGGGGTTGGTTGGGAGATGTTGTACAAGAATTTTGTGGGTTTTGTTTAGAAAGGGGTTTATGCAGCCTAGGATGGCCTTCAACTCACTAAACAGTCAAGGATTTGACTTTTAATTACATGTATGTTTGTGTGTGGTATATATACATGAGTGCAGTCACCAACAGAAGCTGGAGATGTTCCCTGGAAGTGGAGTTACAAGTGATCGTGACCTACTTGATATAGATGCTATGTGTTACGAACTGAACTCCAGTCCTCTGGAAGAGTAGTATGCACTTTTTTTGTGTGGGGAGGGGGGTGGGTGGGTGGGGGTGGTAAGTGGTGGTGTTTGAGACAAGGCTTTTCTGTATAGCCTGGCTGTCCTAGAACTCCATACACCAGGTTGGCTTTGCTTCAGATCAGCCTACCTCTGTGAATAGTATGCACTCTTAACCACTGACCCATCTCTCCATCTGAGGCGTCATCTAGACTGGCCTCAAACTGGTGTTCCCGCTACCTCACTACAAATGGTCAGTGGGTAAAACACTTGCTGCAATCTAACCAACAACTTGACTTCAATGCTCATCACTCATGAAAAGGTGTGAAAAAGACAACTCTACAAAATTGTCCACTAACCTCAACCTGAGTGTTGTGATATGCTCATAACACACACACACACACACACACACACACACACACACACACACACACACACACACATTAATAATGAATTAAAAATTTTGGGGGGGTTTCAAGACAGGGTTTCTCTGTGGCTTTGGAGGCTGTCCTGGAACTCACTTTGTAGACCAGGCTGGCCTCGAACTCAGAGATCCACCTGCCTCTGCTTCCCAAGTGCTGGGATTAAAGGCGTGCACCATCACCGCCAGTCGCTAAAAAAAAATTTAAAGACCCTGTCTGAAGCTAGAGAGATGGTTCAGTGATTAAGAGCACATACTAGATGTTCTGGGGCCTGAAAAGAGAGTGGTTAAGAACACTTACTCCTCCTGTAAAGGACCTGAGTTCAACTCCCAGCACCATGTGAAGTGGCTCAGAACTGTAACTCCAGATACCCTCTTCTGGATTCCCAGGCGGCACTCACATGCACATACTCACACTGTTAGCATTCAGGCACCTGTACTGGCCTGTCCTTGGGGTTCTGACAGGGTACGCCCTCAGCTGCAGCCACTAAGAGCACCACCTGTGCATGTTCACTATGTTCCCTTTGCGCGCTCTGTCTCTCTGTCTCTGTGTCTATCTCTCTCTCTGTGTCTCTCTGTGTCTCTCTATCTCTCTCTGTCTCTGTGTCTATTTCTCTCTCTGTCTCTCTCTCTCTGTCTCTCTCTCTCTCTGCTCCTCTTCCCTCTCTCCTGCTGCTCCTGGCCTTAGCAGCTGCTCTGGTCTCCCCTTCCCCTATGATCCTTTTTCCTAATAAAAACAAAACCCCTCTGCCTAGACCCTGTCCCATGGCATCTCTCTCTCTGCACTGCTTTTCTTAAATTACAACACACACCACCATGTACGCACTTTTAAAAATAAATACTAAAATTTTCTGAGGGCTATTGATGACTCCAACCTAGACTTTAGACAAGAATGCACAGTGCCTTTGGGAGGCCCCAGAGGCACAGTGACAAGGGTTCATATTAGCCAGGTCATCATGTACATCTGCACCAAGTTTCAGAATAGTTAACATGTGATTGATGTCTCACACTGAACCAGTGTTCAAGTTCCCTGGCTACCAGAAGATCCACATCTCAAAGAGAGGCTTCATCAAGTTTAATGCAGATTAATTTGAAGACACGGGAGCTGAGAATCACCTCATTCCTGATGGCTATAGGGTCAAGTCAAAAAGTACATCACTCATTGCTGCTCTTCCAAAGTACCGGAGTCTGGTTTAGACATCTGTACTCATATGCAAATACCCATACACAAGTACACATAATTTAAAATAAAAGATCCCCCCTCCAAAAAAGGGACCACATATAATGGTACACACCTTTAACCCCAGCACCCAGAAGACAGAGGCAGGTGCATCTCTATAAGTTTGAGGCCAGCCTGGTCTACAGAGTGAGTTCTAGGACAACCAGGGATGTGTAGAGACCCTGTTTTAAAATCCCCCGCCAAATAAATAAATAAATGTTTTTTTTAATAACTGAGACATAAATTCAAGGATCTCAAACCCAACTGAAACAAAGGCAAAGCACTGGCCATGGTGTGACCTTCTTGTATTCTCAATAAGACCCTGTCTTGAAATTTAAAAAGAAAAAAATTCATGCTGGGTGTGGTAGCACAAGCCTTTAATCCCAGAACTCAGGAGGCAGAGAGGCAGGTGGATCTCTCTAAGTTCAAGGCCAGTTCAAGACAGCCAGGCCTACAGAGAAATTCTGTCTCAAAAGATAAATAAAATCAGAAGATGCTTGAACAACCCATACAGGAACACGAATGAACACACACACACACACACACACACACACACACACACACACACACACTCTCTCTCTCTTTCTGAGAGACTGTCTTATTTGTCAGTCTGGCCTTGAACTAGACTCTCCTTGATCTCCCAAGAGAGTTGTGGGAGTTAGATGTGTGCCACCCACCCAGCTCTTTGGGTCTCCTATTTTGAGACAGGATCTCTCTCTATAGTGCAGGATGTCTTGAACTCTCCTGCCTTGAGCTTCTGAAATCTGTAGACTACAGGTGAGGGTCACGGCATCCAAATAGACTTAGAACACTAGTTTCCTTTAAATGTCATTTAGGGTTTTACTAGTCTTCATAAAGTATGTCATTCAGATGAGATCATCTGGAATCCTTGGCCTTGTACTGAATTTGTATTCACACTACTCTTCATTAAGTGTTTGCCTTCTATTCCCATTCTCTTAAGGCCAAGTATCTAGGGGTAAAAAGTATGATCAAAATCAAAAATCACTTAACCAAGACTCTTACAAATTTCAGAGTCAATAACTACAAGCTCACACTAAATCTCACAGTACTTCGCCCGCTGCTTTCAGAAGACATTTGGATAGCCTCAGAACAAGAATCCTATTATTTTAGAAGTGCGAAAACTGGCATTCAGCCTCTTGCCCCAAGAGTTCTGGTCCGATTTCAAACTGAGACACTCCCAAAAGCAGTGCCTGGGAATCTTCAAACGACCAGGAAAGAGTTCCGTATTTCGAGTTTGTTAGCTTGCAAGGAAATCAAGCCATTTTCCAATTCAAGTTAACACTTAAAACTTCACGACTTTTTGAACCGGTCTCGCTGCGTAGTCTAGGCTAACCTCAAGGCAACCTCGCCTTGCCTGCCGAGCAATGGGGTTCCAGGCTTTAGAGAAATGAAAAGGCAACACCATTACAGGCTCAGCATTTACACGGAGCGGCTGTCAGAAGCTGCGCCTCGGCGGAGTAGCCGGGATCTGAGGCGGCTCCAGCCGCGGCTCTCGCACCTGCGATAGGCCGAAAGCCGAGTCTGGGCTTGGGACGCACCCACCCGGGCCTCCACCCTGCGCTGTCCCGCCGGCGGCTCGCCCCGCTGGTCGCCCCGAGCCCAGCTGCCATCCCGAGCCCGACCCAGCGCCCCAGCCTCAGACATTGGGGCCCGAGCCCCGGAGTAGCTGGCTCTCAAACCTGGTTCCAGACCGCACTTCAATATTGGCTCCCTCCCCTAAGAGACCCGTACCTTCTCCTCATGGCGGACGCTTCAAGCAGTCAAAAGTCGAGACCCTCCACCTGCCTCACGCGGGACGGAGGACAGTAAGCAACTGCAAACACCTTCCCTTCCGCCGCGTCTAGCCTTTGCTCTCGAGCCGTTGGACCGCGCAGAATTCAAACTCTGCCGGAGGCGGAGCCGTCCGACAATTGGTTCCGTTTTCCGCCACTCACAGAGCCCCGCCCTCGCCCCGCCCATCTGGGGGTGGAGCTCCCCCTAGGCTTAGGGGCTGAAGTACCTACGGGTTGCGCCCGGGGCGTGGGAAGCCCTTGCAAAGGCAGCGCGCGGGCCTCGGTATACGCATGCGCACGCCTAGTCTCCAGGTTCTACAGCTCCGCTGTACCCTTAAATGTGGGGAGGAGAGAGAGGGAGGGAGGAGGGCGATGATGTCACCCGAGCCCCACCCGGCGGGCGCCGTTGGATTTCGAAATTTTGTGCTTCCTTGGCGGTGACTAAGAAGACTACCAGAACAGCTCAACAATTCGCTATTCTCCAACGTCCCAAGAGGAGCGGGCATTAGCAGGAAAGCTTACAGAAGAGCAAACCAGGATCTTGGGCTTGGTACCTTTGTAGACAAGTTTATCACATTTAATCATTAAGACAAACCTGTTAACAATGATCATTTTACTGAAGAAAGAAACTTAAAAAGATCTGAGTAACTTTTTCAGAACTTAGGAGGCCGAGGCAGAATGGTGAACCAGTGTCTGGGCTGCGGGAAAAAGCTGAGCTGTGACCCAATGTGACCAGGCTTTGTTTTTCTTACAAATACTAGGGAAACTTAACAATTGGAACCTGACGTCGAAGCACTCGTGTGACCTTTTCTTCCCTCTGGCCATGAGTTGCACCTGTGTCACATTTTTCAGCGCCTTCCATTACCTAAAATCCTGGTGTGGCTGTATCTCTGAAGTTAAGCATGTTGCTAGTCAGGCTACAATTTGTAAGTAAAGCTGAGATGAATTCCTTTTTTGTTACTTTTTTTGGAAATGATTTGTAGAAGTGTAATTGCGAAACACTCCAAGGATGTTGTATGTATTAACCTGTCGTCTCCACCAAGCTTTACTCGGAGTGTCCCTGTTATCCACAACAGTGAATATTAATGAGCTTTTAAACCACTCTGCTCTGTCTATAGGTCCAAAACAAAACACAACCCAACATCATCTTGTTTGGTTTACACTAAATTATAACTGAAATTATCTATTTTCCTATATTGGCCAGCTGTACCGTGTATAAATTCTCATCATGGCCTTTTCCTTTTTATAATTTTACATTTACTGAATTTGTGTCTATGGGAGCAGTCGTGTATGGAGATTTGAGGGCAACTTAGAGGATTCAGTTCTCTCCTTCCACTGGCGGGTCTACAACCCTTTCACATATCCTGCATTTAAGATATGTACATTATGATTCCTAACAGTAGCCAAATTACAGTTATGAAGTAGCAATGAAATAACTTTATGGCTGGGGTCACCACGACATGAGAAAGTGTAAAGGTTTTAACACTAGGAAGGTTGCGAATCACTGCTGTAGGAGCTCCATTCAGGTCGTTAGGCACTATTAATTACTGAGCCACCTCCCTAGGCCGTCGTTTGCTTCTTTCATTAAAAGTAAACACAGCAGGACTAGGTATGATGGTACATGTCTTTGATGTCAGTACTCATGCAAAGGCACACAGATGTCTGTGAGTTAGAGGCCACTCTGGTCTGCCTAGATTCTAAGACAGCCAAGTAAGATAGGCTCTAAGCCAACAAATAAAACTTTGTTTCACCTCTGGAACCAATGTTTTTTTTTTTCCCCATGGGTTGTTTGTTGTTTGGGTTTTCAACATAGGGTTTCTCTGTGTAATGGTCCTGGAACTTGCTTTGTAGACCAGGTTGGATTCAAACTCGCACAGATCTGCCTGCTTTTGCCTCTTGACTGCTGGGTATTACAGAAGTATGCCACCACCCAGCCTAGAACCATATTTACTGTTGATTTATGGTTTGCTTGTTTGTTTTTTGAGTGCTGGGATTAAAGGCTTGTACTACTAAGTGCTACAAAGCCTGGCCTTGTTTTGTTTTTCTGAGACAACGTCTCATTCTGTAGCCCAGGATGGTATGAAACTCACTACGTAGCTCAAGCTGATCTTGAACTTGTGAGTGATCCTTATGCCTCAGCCTCTCAAGTGCTGGGATTATAGAAAGCCACCACACCTGGGCATCAGAAAGATGGGTTTTGTTGTTGTTGTTTTTGTTTGCTTGTTTTGTTTTTTCGAGACAGGGTTTCTCTGTGGTTTTGGAGGCTGTCCTGGAACTCACTCTATAGACCAGGCTGGTCTTGAACTTACAGAGATCTGACTGCCTCTGCTTCCCAAGTGCTGGGATTAAAGGCGTGCGCCACCACACCTGGCTCAGAAAGATGTTTTTCTTACTTTCAGAAAAACATTTTATTTACTAGGCACAGTAATACAAACCTGTCGTCAGAACACTTGGGAGGCAGGAAGATCACCGCAAGTTCAAGTCCAGCCTGGTTTATATAGGTCTAGGCTAGCCAGTGACCATGTCTTAAAAAAGTAACAAACAAAACAAGACAAAAAAGAGTGTCTCTTTAAGTTAGAGCAATAACAGATTTGTTTTCAGATAGTGTAATGAACCATATAATTTTAGAATGGAAAGGTATTTGTTGACCACTGAAACAACCCTCCTCCTTTTTTTTTATATGAAACATACTGATTCTTTTTTTTTTTTTTTTTTTTTTTTTTTGGTTTTTTCGACACAGGGTTTCTCTGTGGCTTTGGAGGCTGTCCTGGAACTAGCTCTTGTAGACCAGGCTGGCCTCGAACTCACAGAGATCCGCCTGCCTCTGCCTCCCGAGTGCTGGGATTAAAGGCGTGCGCCACCAACGCCCAGCTAATACTGATTCTTTTAATATGATATTGTACCCTCCTCCTTTTACACTTGAGGAAACTCTGGTGCAGGGCATGCCAGCTGACTGTTACTAGGAAGAACTGAGGTAGGCCCAGAGTCCAGGCCATGAAGCCTATGAAGCCCTTAGGACAGCCAACTGTGTAAAGAAGGGAGTGTGTGTTTAGAACTACAAAGATGTTGCATTTGAGAACAGTGGTTTTATTTACAATAATAATCAAACAAGATTTAGCAAAGGATATCTCTCCCTGCATATCTTAGAAGCATGGGCAATATACTTTATAAACAAAAGAATATCCTGGGAGAAAGAACGTGAATTCTCTCCTCAGACATGTCCTCCAAAACTCAAATTAGTTTCAAAGCCCCTATCTCTGAGAAGTATAGCTGAGGGATTCTTCAAGCAGATGGAGGTCAAACACCAGCATCCCACTGAGGTCCACAATCAGAATGACTTCGACACGGGCCAAGAAACCTTCAGGCTTTCACCTCACTCATGGCTTCCATGAGGCGAGCACTGTTTGTAATGGCTGTTGTCAGAAAGATGAATCTGTACCCTAAGAGTCAAGACAAGCAGTGACTAAAAACACATCTTGGGTCCCAAAAGAGCAAGCCCTGACTAAAGACACATCTTGGGTCCCAAAAGAGCAAGCCCGCCAGTTCCACAGTGCCCCAGGATCAGAATGTAGGTTTTACAGGGAATGAAACACTCTGGTTCCAGCAAGTGGGGAGAAAAACAGAAGATGAAAGCATCAGTAGCAGTCTCTTGGGCATTATGGGTGTGGGTTCCCCCCACCCTGCTGCAGCAGCCCAAAGCAAGGCTATGCAAGAGGTACCACAGCCAGAAGGAAAGCCTTCCTGCGCAGGGCATGGGTTCCCCAGGACCCACACATCCCTGCTCTTACTTTCTGTTCTCTTACCTCTCTCTCTGCCCAGAAACCGCAGGGCTGATATCTCTGAGAATGTGCAGCCCCCCAAGAACACCACCAAGATGAGGCGCAGGGACTCGCTGGAGGCCTTGTCTTCCTTAGTCATGTCTGTGAAGAGCAGAGTAGACTTCCGCCATCACTCACACACTAGCCACCCCCTTCTATACCCTGCACCTCTAGCAAGGCCACATACCTGTGAATGCGAACTCACTGCAGTTTAGCAGCCGAATCACCTCATCAAGGCCCTGCCAGCTCCGTCGCTCCAGCACCTAGCAAGGTGTAAACCCTGGTTTCAAGTCTTCAGATAGAAAGTTTAGCAAAGGAAAGGAATAGCAGCAAGACTCATGTTTCTTCTTTGAGAAGGGAAAGTTGGGAGCGGTGAAGGATCAAGAGGAAGCGTAAAGAATGAGATAGGAATAAAGCGAAAGGATTCTTTCTCACCTGCTCAATGATTCGGCAGCTCAGAGGCACATAGGCCCCACTGAATACATAAGCCATGTCTCGGGGGACTTTCAGGTCATACTCCCCATCTACACGTGGGATCTAGAGAGCAAAGGTCATTAGGCAGGTCACAGCTCAACACTCTAACCTTTTAATGGTCTGATAAAAGTAGCACACCCCAAGTTCGCATTTTAACTAGTGAGAGCCAGCAAAGGTCCTGAAAACAGGGGTCCATAGCCAAGACAACCATTGTATCAAATTCCTGCCTCTTCTCTCTAGGGGTTCCTCTGCTCTCTGTGAAGGAGCTCTTTTCCAGTTCTTTCCTCTAGCCCCTTGACAGGGAGCTGGGAAACCCATACTTCTGAGTGTTCTCTAGCATTCACAGGTGCTATTACATGTTTATTAAATTATATTAAATTATATTACATGTTTATTATTCTTTATGCTTTTTTGTCTTATTATTAAATTAAGCTTGTGCTGTAAAGTTACCAAAGGACTGTCATAAAAATGCAATGTCACGGGGTTGGAGAGATGGCTAGACTAGAAAAACAACACAGAGCCGGGCGTTGGTGGCGCACGCCTTTAATCCCAGCACTCGGGAGGCAGAGGCAGGCGGATCTCTGAGAGTTTGAGACCAGCCTGGTCTACAGAGTGAGTTCCAGGACAGCCTCCAAAGCCACAGAGAAATCCTGTCTCGAAAAACCAAAAAAAAAAAAAAAAAAAAAAAAAAAAGAAAAACAACACAGATGTCATCTCAAATGAGGTGGAAGATGAGGACTGATACCTGAGGTTTCCTCTGATTTCTACATGTGTACTATTGCTATAGCACACATGTATTCACATTCATACACATGAATGC